CCCCCTCCCCAAGGACATCCTTCCTCATCGTTCCTCGTCCCCAGGGATATTACACTCTAAAAAGCGGGGTAGGCTAGGAAAGTAGCTCTGATACCAGGTGTTATGAATGAACTTGCAGAGTGCGCATGTAAACAAATAACGAGAATGACCAATTACAGCATGACGATACAAGGAAAGTAGCGAGGCCTAAATAAGGGAAAAGCTAGCTAGGCGGGGAGGTCGGGCGAAGATGGCTCGGTGATGGTTGCGATTGGTGCGGAGCCGACTCGGAAGTGGTTTGGTGGGACGAAACAGGCCGAATAGGTTCGTCACGTAACCCTCGGGATGTACTCGCTAAAGTGCGAGTACAGTAAGGAATTACAATTCCTTGCATTGGGTTTACTGGCTTTAAAGGGATTATTGCAAACTACGGTAATAGCGTATCGCCCCGGATAGTAGCGCCAGCACTTCTATATGGAGCCATGCGCTTATGGACGGACCTCAATTATAAGCGCACCCCCTAAAAACCCTGTACTTTTTATAAGCGCATCCCCCCCCCCCCCCCCCCCCCCTCCCCAGGGGGTAATCTTTTCACTATTATTTAATCTAAACCTTTATTTTCTACAATAACATGAATTCTACACATGTCTCTCTACCAACATTCTCAGTGTACATCATCAAGGTTTACATTTCTAGCTAGAATCTACTCGTCGTCCGACTCTGGCTCCTCGCAGTTGTTACCAAAGAATCCGTTGGCGATGATCTCGTCATCGACGTCGACCTCGTGGGTCAGCTGGCTCCGCCTGTGCGCCATGGCAAGGTTGTCCTCATTGCCGTTAAGGGCGTTGCTGATGCCAGAGGTGAGTAACGCCTTCTTGATAAGATCCGCTGGCACGGCCTTCCAGGCCCTTGAGATCCACCTGATGTTCCCTGCACCACATGTCAGAGCATGAGAGTTAGAACAACATTCGGGCCGAAGTCTGCTGTCTAACAATCAACGGTGGGTGTCTTGCCTGCAGCCGTCAGCCGATCCTGGCCCTCCTCCTCAAACCACGTTTGGTACTGCTGGCGGATGGAGGCTTTAAAGGACTTGTTAATAGAGATGTCCAACGGCTGCACCTCCGCCGTACAGCCCGAGGGGATCACAACCGGCACGATGTCCAAGTCGGCGAACTTCTCCTTCACGGCATCCATGAGGTGCCCCCGGTTAGAATCCAGAACAACCATGGCGCTCCTCGCCTGCCTGCCGAACCGGGGCCGAATGAAGGGCTTCACGTACTCCTCGAGCCAGCGCATGATGCCGTTGGTGTCCATCCAGCCGTTCGGGTGCACCGCCATGACCATATCTGCGATATCGCGCGCAGTAAACAAACATGCGTTAGTATCACCACGGTAAAGAACGATCATTAAACACCACCGTGTTATCTTACCGGGCGGGAAGTCACCCTTCGGCACCGTCTTCCACTTGAAAAGGACCCACGGCTTAAGCTTCTCGCCGTCGGCCGTGCACGCCAGCATCACGGTCACGCGTTCCTTCTGGTACCCCCGGCTCCTGATGGGCACCGAGCGAACGCCCGTCTCGTCCACAGTAGTCGTGGCGGGCATCTCTAGCCACTGCGGCGTCTGGTCAGCGTTGATAATCCAGCGGGTTTCGGTGCCGCGCTCACACCGCTTGTCACGAACGAACTGCCAGAAGCTCTGGCACAGCTCCGCAACATCTGCGCACACACGGACAGTGTGAAGAGGCAGGAGTTAGCCAGTATCGTTACTAGTGAAACACAACAAGCACACGGTACAAAAAAAAAAAAAAAAGTATTACGTTCGGCGGTTTTCTGGGCAATCCTCGACTTTATGCGCACGCTCAGATTCCACCGTTTTCGGAACCGCTCCGACCACCGCTGGCTGCTCTTCCACTTCACATCGGGGAATAGAAGCTTCATGAACTCCCTTGACCACTCCTGCAGGCGACCGACGGAGACGGCAGTGCCTTTGCGGCGCCGCTCGAGAAGCTTTGCGTAGACTTTCAGCTCCATCGGTCTGTACCACAATGACCTCCCGCGCCCGTGCATCCGCTTCCGTGCTGAGTGCGCTTCCTTGAGCATCGCGGCGGCTTTCTTCCACTCCGTGAGACATTTGAGGTGGATTCCAGACTCGCGAGACAGCGACCGCATCGACACCGCCACATCCATGCGGCCAATCCACTGCAGCTTCTCCTGCGCGGTATAAGCGTTATGCTTATGCTGCGAGGGCTAGTGCCTGGGAGAGGGGGGGGGGGCATCACGGTTCTTAGAAGAGGGGTGGGGACGCTTACGGTTAACAAGTGGAAACGTGGGTATAGGAAGTTTCTCGGGAAGTCCGACGCGCGACCAATACTCCACGCTGTCATCGTCCTCACCGCCCACGGCACCCTCGGGAAACACATCTGCCGCGGTACCGGCCTCGACGCCAGTGTCGGTGCCAGTGTTGGTGCCAGCCTCAGTGCCAGCCTCGGTGCCAGCCTCGGTGTCGGGCACATCGTCGTCAGCGCCCACACCTGATTCGTCCCACGCGCAATCCTGCGGCTGACCCCATAGTGATACCAGGGGCGGAGCTCAAACGTAGACGTCGGGGGGCTTGTTGCTGTCAGGTTCAGACATGTACTCATCGAACGCCGACGAGTGGAGGAGCGTCAGCACGGGAGGATTCGTTGGGCCTGCAAACACGGGTGGATTTGGAGGAGCAGGTGGAGTTGGAGGTGCAGGAGGACATGGAGGAGATGGCTGCGCAGGCGGCGCAGGAGGCTGTGGTGGCTCTGGGGGCGATGGTGGGATACGAGTATACCAGCCGTCAGCGTCCACTTGAAAGGCGGGCCTAGGCTTCTTCTTGAAAAGAAAGTGGGTGCCAGTGAATTCCGCCATGGCTTTCGCAGCCTGGCGGGCGAAACATGGGAAACTGAACCAAGATCTGCAAGAAATGAGAAGAACTGAACTTCAGACGGGACCCCTGCGGGAAGCGGCTCGCCGTCCTCGTCGATGATAGACGTGTACCCCCACAGCCTGAGGAGAGGAGGGAAATGGGCGGCACACATGCTGCGGTGGTAGGGCATCTTCGATTGGGCTGCACGGCAGCTTCCCTGTCAGCGTTGGCAGATACGTTGCTCCCGGGGTCCTCGCTATCATACATTTTTGTCTGATTGTCTTAGAAATCAGGCGATTTTTTCTTAGTTAATCTGATTTTCCTATATTTGATTTCGATTTCATCTTATTGGCTAGAAATCATTTTTTAGTTTCATTTGATGCATCAGAAACGTATTTTCTGATTCGTCTGAAACCGAATCATGTTATAGCCTACAGTTTCGAGCATTTCCTGATCTGAGATGTCAACCAGACCTGCTATGATTGGGCAAAACATGCTCTGACAGGGTGAATCTCTTGTGTAAGGGCGAATCTGCTCTTGTGTCAGGGTAATTCTTCTGTGATTGGGCGCTGCTCCTTGATATCGCAAAACTGTGATTGGGCGAATTCGCTGTGCTCTGACAGCACGAAACCACCGTGCCAGGGCGAATTTGCTGTCAGAGCGAATCTGCCGTGACCAGGTAAGTACACCTGATGCTCTCACACTGCACGTGAATGTTCCTGCCACCGGGTGGAAACCTTGCACCCGTGGTTTTTGTACCATCCAGTTGCACCCACGTTATAAGCACGTCAAGCAAGTTGCAGTGATATTAACCAATACGAACCACAGAAAATGAATTTTGACCGAAGAGACTGAAGGCAAACTTTTACAAATTTCCTTATGAGCCCTTATAAGCACCTGACGAATCCATTTTTGCTAGCTGCGAACTGGCGAAATTTTCAAAATCAATTACAAGCCCCCTTCACAAGGCAACCTTGGGTTAGTCAAACGAGCATCATGTGTACACACAACAAAGTCCGATTTTTCAGTGAACAAGTCCGAATCTATCTTTAACTATTGTCCTATTTGATTGGTCAGACAAGATTTCTGTAAAATGTCTGCATCAGGCCCCCTATAATCCTAGCGAGGACCCTGGTTGCTCCAAGACAGGATTTGTACGGTGGCAAACCGAGTCGCTGCCGTTTTCGCTTGCATGTCATGCACAAAACCAACGTGAACGTTTGAGGGTCATGTTCGCCTTAATGAGAGCTTCGATTTGGTACCCTTAAAAACAAATTTCATTTTTTTTTTCCATTTCATAAGCGCATGCGCGTATGCCCTTTCCTCAATTACAAGCGTACCCCCTAAAAAAATTGATTTCATTATAAGCGCATATGCGTTACTATCCGGGGGGATACGGTAACAAGATTCTGTTTTGTGCACCATAGCATTGCTTTTGTTGATCATTTCCACGGTAATTGAATCTGCTTTGCTGACTGCCAGCTTTAAATATTTCAATCTTCAAGTTACTGTACTGTATATCGCACGTCCAATTACAGATCCCTCTAGTTCCGAACCCGTCTCCTATACAAATTCCCGACTCCCCATACAATAATACAATATGACAGAAGGACTACTGGAAGGTATGAATGGGTGTGTCCAGTCTATTGAAATTTTATCCTCCATTCAACTATCATGTGCAACACCTTGGCTTCCCACTCCCATACAAGTGGTGAAGGCACCTAAGGTAATAAATCCTTCCCCAGCCGTGCACCTCAAGTTTCCCAGCCATAGCAAACCCTGATGCTGATGCTCTACCATCCCTCTTATCTCCTTATCCGCTTACATAGACAATGGCCAATCCTCAAGTGCCTAAAACGTTGTCAGCACAGCACACGCTCCACCTCTAGTTTACCAAACGATGCTGCTCTCCTCAGCTGCTCTCCCAGCCATGTTCGCTCGTGTCAGCAGCAACCGCCAATTCTTGAGGCGCCTCAAAATTCGTGTCAGCAGCAACCACCAATTCCCTGGGCGGACCAACAAGCCATCGTCAGAGCGCCACCCGCTTGTCCTCAGCCTCACACAGCCCATCAATCCCCGCAGCCATGCGGTCATTAAATGCGGTGCATACACTCCCATCCCATCCCTCACTTCCCCTTATCCACCGTTAGCAGCAGCCGCCAGTCTCCCGGCCTCGCCAACAAGCCATCGTCACAGCGCCAACCACTCGCCCTCAGAACCTCACACAGCCCGTCAAACCCCGCAGCCATGCGGTCATACGAAGAATGCAGCACCTCCAGCTTCCCAAAGGAGGCAAACTCGGCTGCGCGAGCTTGGACGTGTGTGCGCGCTTGGGGGGCGAGGGAGTGGATGGTGGGGCAGAGGGCGTGTGGAGAGAGCGTGCGGAGGTAGGCGGCTTGCAGGGCCGCTCTGAGGAAGTCCCTTGGAAGAGCTCCCTCCTTCAACACAACCTGGGGGGTGACAGGGTCACAGGTGTGAGAGGGCATGGAATGGCAGTGAGGGGAAGAGTAAAGCTTTTAGTGCCAGGCGGCTTGCAGTGGTGGTGCAGAGGGCGTGTAAAGAGAGCGTGCGGAGGTAGGCGGCTTGCAGGGCTGCTCTGAGAGATTCCTGAGGGAGAGGAATTCTGAAGTGCATGAAGAAATGAGGTTGAACAAGAGGAATGAGGGTTTAGGCAAAGTAGGAATTTTCCAAGAGCTCTATCCCTTGCTCTCCCTCCACCCACCCACCCACCCAACCACCCAACCACCCAGCTGCAAGCACGAACCTGCATCTGCACCATTCTCTTGTCCGTCTAAGCAGGTACTTTTCTCCTCGAAATATCTTCGCCATCATGTCTGCCTCCCGTTCTGTGTGAGCCACACACACCCACGCACACTCACCCTTCTCCTTTCTTCCCACCCACTCCGACACACACAAGGCACCCACCTGCATCTTTCCTGCTCGCTCATCTCTTCTAAGCAGGTTCTTCTCTCCACCATCTCTTGCTCTCCAATGCAGGTGGGTGCCTTGTGTGGGTCTCCACCATCTGTCCACCATCGCCTTGTGTGGGTCTCCACCATCTGTCCTTACTTCTCTCCTCGGAATATCTCCACCATCGCCTTGTGTGGGTCTCCACCATCTGTCCTTACTTCTCTCCTCGGAATATCTCCACCATCGCCTCTGCCCCCCCCCATTCCAAACCCACTCACATTCTGCCCTCTTTCCCCCCCAATCCCCACCCACCCAACCACACTCAACGTACGCACCTGCATCTGTCCCGTTCTCTCGTCCCTTCCCAATAGGTACTTCTCTCCTCGGAATATCGCTGCCATGGTCTCGGCCTCCCGCTCTGTGTGCGCCACTGCTGCCAACGGCACTCCGAACTCGATCCAGTTCTCACTCCCTGTCCCGGGCGCTGGTGGGGGGGTGGCCTGGGAAAGGAAAGGGAGGTGGATGAGGATGGGATGGGATGGGGAGAGGAATGGGGGGGAGCAGGTGGAGAGGGGATAATGAGAGTATTAAGGTGTGCGCCACTGCTGCCAGCGCTGGGCGCTGGAGAAGTGTGGGTTGAGACATCTCTCTGTGTGCGCCACTGCTGCCAACGGCACTCCAAACTCGATCCAGTTCTCACTCCCTGTGCCGGGGAGGGGTGGGGGAGACGCCTGGGAAAGTGGAAGGGATGTAAAGGAGAGGGAAGGAGAAGGGGGATAGGTGGAATGAGACACACCTAGCAGGACGCACACTTGCATCACACACATACGAGACATGTAACGCACATGTAACACATATATGCACATGTATGCACCGCACATGCACCATACATGCACCACAACAGAGGTACCTTGGGCGAAAATATCGATTTGAGGGGCGGCAGAATGGGCTCTTGGGAGTTTACTTCAATGACACCTGGCACCCTGCCATTGGTCACGAACTCTGCCAGGACAATATCTGGAGAAAACACCAAGGGAAGAAGAGGAGAAAGAATAGGAGGGAGCAGAGAGGGAAGGAGCATAGGAGGAAGCTGCTTACAAGGGCACAGGTGATTGAGACAGTTCCTCTCTACAGAGGGGATCAAAGACATGACGATAACTGCTTTGATGGAGTGATGAAAACCCGCTTCTGAACCTGCTTCTGAACCTGATTCTGAAGCTGCTCTGAATTGACTGCCTGCGAGACTTCTCAGAAACAGCTTCGTATTTCCCTCGGCCTGGGAGGATTTCACAAGCGCACACTTCCATGCTTTACCTGCTCGGAAGGGATTGAGTGTCCTGAGCTGCATGGCTTTGTACGAGCGGTAGTTGCAGCACAGGTGGGTGGCGGACAGCAGGGCGTGAGTCGCCCAGAGGAGAGCACCCTCGTGCCCTGGTGCCCTAGAGCGCTTGCAACCTCGCCCTGCCTGCTGCCTCACCTGCTCAGAAGGGGTTGAGCGTCCTCAGTTGCACGGCCTTGTACGAGCGGTAGTTGCAGCACAGGTGGGTGGCGGACAGCAGGGCGTGCGTCATTCAGAGTAGAGGACTCATCGCCCTAATCCCGTATTCCCTTAGTACCCTACTGCCCTACTGCCCTACTGCCCTGGTCCCCACTGCTGCTCACCTGCTCTAAAAGGGTTCAGCGTCCTGAGCTGCACGGCTTTGTACGAGCGGTAGTTGCAGAACAGGTGCGTGGCGGACAGCAGGGCGTGCGTCGCCCACAGCAAAGGGCCCCTTGTGCCCACATGGGGAGCGATTGCAATGCCTAGTGCCATCCCCAGTGTCTTACTGACCATGCCCTGTGCCTCTGCGCGTGCTAGCACCTGGGGGGAGAGGAAGGGGAGGAGCAGAGAGAGGGTGAAGTTAGATACGCGGGCCGGACAGCAGGGCGTGCGTCACCCACAGCAGAGGGCCTCTCGTGCCCACATGTGGAGCAATGGCGATTCCTAGTGCCATGCCCAGCGTCTTGCTCACCATTCCCTGCGCCTCTGCCCGTGCCAGTACCTGGAGGGGAGAGGAAGAGGAGGAACAGCCAGCGAAAGTGAAATCACATGAATGGTTCGGACAGGAGGGAGGGCGTGAGTCAGCCACAGCAGAGGCCCCCCCTGGTGCCTGCGTGTGGGGCGATTGCAATGCCTAGTGCCATGCCCTGTGCCTCTGCGCGTGCTAACACGTGTGGGGCGATGGCGATTCCCAAAGCCATGCCTAGCGTCTTGCTCACCTTGCCCTGTGCCTCTGCGCGTGCTAGCACTTGAGGGGGAGAGGAGTGGGAGGACGAGAGAGTGTAGTGAAGTCTCTTAAGTGGGGGACAGCAGGACGTGCGTCACCCACAGCAGAGCGCCCTTTGAGCCCATGTACAGAGATGCCCAGAGTTATGTCAAGGGTGTCTTACTCACCACCATGCCTTGTGCCTCGTCCCACGCCCGCAGGTCAGTGTCTCACCCCGGCAAATATTTTTCTGCCCGCCGCCAATCCGGCAGAAAACCGGTTCCTAGTAGCGCTCTGCACAAGGCTCGACGCGGAGAACCCCGCCCCGGCAGCAGCAGCCAACTGGACGAAATATTGCGGGAAGGTGGCTGTGAGGAGCTTGTGGGAGGAAGGGAGGGAGGGTTGAGGCACAGGCCCTCTCACCTGCCAGGCCCAAGGCGAAATCTCACTCACCTCGGCAAAGTTTCTTCTGCCTGCCAGCCCAGCATAAAACCGGTTCCTTGTAGCACTCTGAACAAGACTCGACGCGGAGAACCCCGCACCAGCAGCAGCAGCCAGCTGGACGAAATACTGCGGGAAGGTGGCTGTGAGGAGCTCGAGGGAGGCAGAGAGATTCTCCACGAGGTCGGAGAGCAGGCGCGAGCGCTTGGGGGAGACGTCAAAATGGCGGCCGAACTGAGAGAGCGTGACCTTGGCTGCGTAGCCCAGGCCGTCTTTTAGGACCCAGTTGACGGCTGCTGCTGCTGGGATGGCGCCCTTGCCCAGGCCCACCGCGTACAGCATTGCCTGCAGGGGACAGGGGGGTGGAGAGTGGGAGGGGAGGGGTTGAACTGGGACAGCGTGACTTTGGCTGCGTAGCCCAGGCCGTCCTTTAGGACCCAGTTCACTGCCGCTGCTGCTGGGATGGCGCCCTTGCCCAGCCCCACTGCATACAGCATCGCCAGCAGGGGACAGACAGATGTAGGGAGAGAGGGAGAGAGGAAAGAGCGAAGCAAGGGCTTGAGGAAGCAGTGAGGAGCTCGAGGGAGGCGGAGGGATTCTCTACGAGGTCGAGGTTCTCCGCTTGGGGGAGACGTCGAAATGACGGCCAAACTGGGAGAGCGTGACTTTTGCTGCGTAGCCCAGGCCGTCTTTTAGAACCCAGTTGACTGCTGCTGCTGCTGCGATGGCGCCCTTGCCTAACCCAACTGCGTACAGCATCGCCTGGGGAGGAGAGAGGAGAGGGAGGGAAGGGAGGGAGAGAGTGAGGGGAAAGCGCGTCAGGTTGAACTGCCGAGAGCGCGACCTTGGCTGCATAGCCCAGCCCGTCCTCCAGCACCCAGGAGGGAGAGTGGGGGGGAGGAGAGGAGAAACAGGAGGGTACGAGGAGGGCAGGGAAAAAGGGGGTTTGCAAAAAAAGCAAGCCACTTCGCTTGAGGGTGCCTAGAATAAGAAAAGAATTCCACTCGCCTGCGTTGTAAGCACGTGGTTCATTTCACTCGCCACAGTTTGCCGCATGCGCCACACTGTGTACTCCATATAGTCAGGAGTCACACTATCGGGATAACCCTCTGGTAACATCCACCTCACCACCGCCGCTTTCACTCCCCTCACCACCCGCGCAACCATATCCCCGCCGCTGCTCCGCTCATCCCCCTCCCCCGATAAAACCCTATCCCCTGCGCCCTTCCCATTGCCATTCCCCGTGCTTGTAACGATCCCCTTTACAACGCGTCCGTGATCCTCCTCGTACGCGTTAGCAGCTTCCTCGCCTTCCAGTTCAACTTCCACCAATAGCTGGTCCTTTCCCCCCTTGCTGCTTGCGCTGCTGCTGCCGTCTCCGCCAATCAGGCGCCGCCACCTGTCACCATGCAGCTCCCATATGACCTCCTGGTCGCTGGCGGACGCGCCAGTCGCAGGGGGAGGCGCAGGGCGGCGGTTACGCGCGGATTCCGCGCGTGCGAGCGGGGAGAGGAGCAACGGGAGCATGGTAAGGAGAAACGCTGCGAGCGATAAGGCGCTCAGGCGTTTGTGAAATAGAGGAGAGATGCCTTCGACACGAGAGTTGAACCAATCAGAAAACAGCTTCATTAGGAACAAGTAACCATGTTCCTGCTGGCCATCACCTTGCCCTCCGCAATCTCCGTCATCTCCGTTATCCTCTCCTCCACCTCCCCCTCCTCCTCCGCCTCCATCTCCCCCTCTTCCTCCGCCGCCCCCTCTCCCCCTTCCGTCATTGCCGCCGATTCCCCCCCCGCCGTCTCCGCTCCGCCATGCCAAAGCTTGCGCTTTGACTCGCGCGCCGGGAGCAGCGGATCGCGCTGTCTCCGCCAACCGCGACTTCCCCGCAATTGACGGTCTTGCTGCTAGCCTTCCGTCCTGAGACCCCGCAAAACCCGCTGGTAACCTCGCGGTCGCGACCCGAAATGGTCGACCACCTGCTGATCTTCTTCCTGTCCCCGCTATTGAGTCAATTTGGCCGGGTCGATACGCGCATTTGACATATGAGTAAATTGTGCTGCTCCCGCCAATTTCCCTACCCTGAAAGCCGGCATGGCCAAAGCGACGCGTTTCGTGCCAATCATTCCTCCCGAGGGTCGGAGCGCAGGGCAGATAGCAGCACGATCGCATTGCAGCTGCCATTGCCGCACATTCAAACGGTAAAGCACACACAGACGCTCTCGTGGGCGCCGCAGGCTTAGCACTTCGCGTCGCGTGTTTGGCCAATGGACGAGCAATTCAAACGTTTTGAACCGCTGCTCACCTTTTTGAGAATAAGTTCCACACTAATCGGGGTGCGCTGCAATGTGATGGATGGATATGATATGACGTGGCAAAAAGTGCATGTGAGAACAAGCTGGAATGACCCTTGTGCGTGTGAAAGGGTAGGCGCGGGGAGCTCAGCGTTTGTAATGACATCGATTGCACATCAAGGATCAATCCTGATCAACGAAGCAGCACATGTATTTTCTGTTATAACAATCTATGAACGGGTCATGGATGAGTAATACTTAAAGGGAAAATGATGGAATCAACTACTAGGACTCCAATCTAATCGAAAGTCCAGGGGCCTAAAAATAAGCATTACTAAATTTAGTCTCATCTTAACTGCCTCTACCCTTCAGTACTTGTAGCCAAGCCCGCACGACGATCTCCTGCTATGCCTCATATTTTTTCCATCAAACTGAATCTGTTTCTGTGCAAGTCATAGGCCATGTCAGAGGTCCACTGGAGATCCCCGATGATCCTAGGGAAGGGTTACAGGCATGTCGGCCTGGGGGATTATGGGCGCACTCACCCGCTACTTAAACAAGCCCTTTTATCCCAGTGGTTAGTGGCTGGGATTCTGACATGATATCAGAGCGAAGGTCTCGGGTTCGATTCCCGGTGTGTGCACTTCGGGCATCCCAGTGCGGGGGGGTGTCAGAGGTCCACTGGAGATCCCCGATGATCCTAGGGAAGGGTTACAGGCATGTCGGCCTGGGGGGTTATGGGCGCACTCACCCGCTACTTAAACAAGCCCTTTTATCCCAGTGGTTAATGGCTGGGATTCTGACAGGCGAACACACATAACAAAGGAATTGACATGCTACACCTCTCTGCTGATTAGGATCTATACCGTAAAAGCCAATACTGGTGCTACTGTAACAGAATACAAGCATCTAAGGGTACATTCCTGCGGGGACATTTGTGTCACAATCCCAATTTTTGCCAAGGTACCGCTCCGTTCAAAGCGGTTTGATTCGGTACAGAGCGGTACTGACGTAAAAAATGGGATTGTGACACTAATGTCCCCGCAGGAATGTACCCTAAGACAATCCTGCTCCACTAATATCCTTCATGCATTGTCCCTCTCTCCCAAACAGCAGCTCCCTTTAACAGCAGCTCTTTCCCCAAGAACCCTTCACTGTAATCACATTCACTCTATCCACCAGCGATACTGGCAGCTCCTTCAACCGTATACACCCGTCCAGATCCACCTCCCTCAGACAGGGAAAACTGCCTAAGTCGCAGGGCAGAGCCCTCATGCGCTTGCATCCTTGCAGAGAGAGCTTAATGAGGCGCGGGAGGGAGAGCGGGGAGGGGAGGCGGCGGAGGAAAGGGAGGCGTGTGAGTGAGAGAGAGGCAAGGCTGGAGAGAGAGGAGATGGAATCCGAGAGGCAGGTGAGTTTATTACAGTCTGCGATGGTGAGACGCACGAGGGCGGAAAGGAGGGTGAAGGAGGGCGGCAGGGCGTTAAGAGCCTGGCATGACTCTAGGCTCAGATGGCGCAGGGCTTTCAGCTGCCCGATATCTTCGGGCAGGTGGGTCAGCAAGGGGAGTGACTTGAGGGTCAGCTGTCGGAGATTGGAGAGGCTAGTGAGGGAGTCGGGAAGGGAGGTCATGGCTGGGCATTCTTCTAGCAGCAGCACTCTCAGCTGCACGAGATCGGCCAAGGATTCAGGGAGTGCAGAGAGGTTAGAGAGGGCGATGTGAAGATGCTGCAGGGAAGACAAGAGATCCAATCTGGCCACCATATCAGAATCGGAATCAGATTTATTAGACAGGTCATCGTGGGTGGCTTGAGCGAGGGCTGAGGACTGGTTCACAAGGGAAGGGGCAATAAGCTGCTGGAGAGATGGAAGGTCGTAGATGTTGAAGTGGGTGAGTTGGCCGAGGGAAACAAGGGACTCTGGAAGGCACTGGGCTGAGTGGAAGACATTTGAGAGGATGATGGTTCTGATGGAACTTGGAAGGGAGAGGGGCGCAACCAGAGGAGGGGAGGAGGAGGAGGTTGATGGTGGGGACAGTGCAGACAGGAAAGTGTTGCACTGTGGGGGCGGAGATGTGGGCTTTCGCAAGGGGCTCGGGTGTATGAGGTTTAGGCTGGTGCAGTCTTCCAGAGCCAAGTGCTCCAGCCTAGGCAGCAGATGCAGGCCCTCTGGAAGGCTCTCCAGGCGCGGGCAGTCAGAAATCTCCAGCTGCTCCAGCGATGGAAACGGGGGAGCACGGGTGGCAGCAGCAGCAGCAGCGGGGGCAGCAGCAACAGCGGTGGCAGCAGCAACAGCGGTGGCAGCAGCAACAGCGGTGGTAACAGCAGCAGCATCAGCAACAGCAGCGGCAGGAGTAAGAGGGGGGTCAGAACCCAGAGTAGAAGAATCTCCTGCAGGGGTGTGAATGGGCGTGGATAGCAGCGACGGGAAGAGCCGCAGCTGAGGGCAATTCTTCACCTGGAGCACTCTAAGACTGGCCATCCCCCCCATGCCTGGCGGCAACTCCTCCAGCATCTCACACCCCTCCAAAACGAGCTCTACCAGGCCCGTGAGGCGAACCAGGGACTGGGGAAGCATGTGGAGGGCGCACGCGCCTTCCAGGTCAGGTCCGTAATCCGATTCGCTGCAAGTCTCAAGCCTATTCCTGCTGTACGTTGCCTTTGTCCCAACCCTGAGCACTTCCAGGCTCGGCAGGTCCCCGAACCTGTCCGGCAGGCTAGCGAAAACGCAGTTGAAGAGGTAGAGAGTACGCAGCTTCGGGAGGGTTTCAAAACCCGGAGGGAGGTCAACTAGAGAAGCCCCACCGTAGATGAAAAGGATTTCCAAGGAGGAGAGACTGGCGAAGGAGTTTGGAAGCTCAAGTAGGCTGTTGCATTCCATGAATACTAATTCCTTCAGCTTCCCCAGCTGCCCGAACGAGTCGGGCAGAGTAACGAGCTTGTCACTGGACAGCTTCAGCGAAACCAGGTTTGAAAGCTGCCCAATGTCTCCGGGCAGCTCGTGAAGGTCGCAGCCGTCAAGTACGATTGCTGTGAGTGACTCCATAGCGGAGACGGACTGTGGGAAGGCAGAAAGCTCACAGCAGTCAATCACATTCAGCTCCTTGAGTTGAGACAGAAGGCCGATAGAGTCTGGAATGACCTTGAAATCCCCAAACATTTCCAAATTCAGGTACTCTAGAGTGGAGATTTGGCCGAAATCTTCGGGCAGGGCCGTCATGCTTCCACAATTGTTAAGGGTTAAGCTACGGAGGCTTTGACTTGAGCAAAGGGAGGCTGGGAGCTGCGAGAAATCCCAGTTTTGAAGACGTAACTCCTGCAGAGCGGGCACCTGCCCGAACGAGTCAGGAAACGAAGCGGTTGAAGTTGAGATTTCTACCGCTTCTAACCTTGACAGCTGATGGAAGTTTTCGGGCAGCTTCAAAAAGTCATAGCAGTACAGGAGCGAAAACCGCGTGAGGGCTGGTAGCTCGCAGAAGGATTCGGGCAGCTCACGAAGACCTTCTACTAACGAGAGCGTGAGGCTCCTTAGGTTTCGCAGCTGCCCGAAATCCTTGGGCAGGTGGGCCAAAGGGGATCTTTGAATCTCTAAGTGCTCCAAAGCCTTAAGATCGCAGATGGAATCGGGCAGAGCTCTAGTTCAAACTCCAACCGCTTCAATCGCAACAAGCAGCCGAATTCCGTTGGTAACCCGGTAACGCTGTAGGTTGATCGCATGCTGAGCCTCGTGAGCTGCTGCAGGCGGCTGATGGAAGGAGGCAGCGTGGGAACGCCGTCTGCCAGCCGTAGATCCAAACTGACCAATCGCGTGCAGGAATTGAAGATCTGGGAGACATCGGACGGTGAGATCGCCGCACGGCCGTTGCGCGCCGCGCTTCTGATTTCGTCTTCCTGCACGCGCGTCGCCAGCCGTCGATCGCACAGATGCATCGTGAGATGCGTCAAGGAGGATCCGCATCCGTCACAGACGGATCGCACGAGGTGGTGATCGACGACGTCCGTCGCGAATTCGCCGAGGTGCAGATGGCGAAGGTTCGGGAATCCCAAGGTGGATGAGGTGAGGAGCGAGCCGAGAGTTTGCGATGAGAAATAACGGTCGTAAGGCACGATGATTGCGGGATGCACGGATCTGGCGACGCGCAGCCATCGCTTGCAGACCAGCGCGTGGCGAAAGGAGACGAGCGAAGAAGCGGTAACCACACGTGCATCCCGCGTTGTGTCAACGCACGCACTCTCCGACGGCAGAGGTTCGTCCAATGCTTTCTCGATCGCGTCTCGCAGAATGTCCTCGTTACTATCTTCAGAATCGTGGCCGTCGAATCTGGTGGTTGTCGCAGACGCGGCGAGAACAAGAATCGAGCCAAGCAGGTCATCAGACAACCGAGAGAATTGGTCACCACTACTCGTCATGTCTCCTATGCTAGTGAGATTTTTATCGAATCGAGCCCTGAAGGTCACGAGTGCAACGTGGATAGAAATTCTCGAGAAATGAACAAGGGAGAGACGAGTGATGCTTGTGGGTATTGTCGTAGGGGTGCCCGGAGTTCAGGCAAATGAATAGCGAGCGGTTTCAAGCGGTAAAGAGAGGGCATTGTTAAACAACCATAGTCCGTAAACTAATCAACGCTTTTATTATGCTGACTTTTGGAGACCTAAAAGGAAGCATTACAAAAAGTAGTATCCACTGCCTAACGCATTCAATATTTCTGGCCCAGCCCACCCAGTTTCCTGCGGTGCCACTTTTTATTTCCAATAAAGTGACTTGGTTGTGCAAGAGAAATGTCACGTTCCAACTTACGACGGGATGGCTATTGCTGTGATACACCTCTACCAATAAATAAGGACCTCTAAATGTCTGCTATGGTAAAAGGATCCCTCCCAGCTTCAAAGACAATCTTGCTCCACTAGTACCCTCCATGCATAGTCCCTCTCCCAAACAGCGCCACCCACATTACCACCTCTTTCCCCAAGAACCCTTCACTGTAATCACATTCATCCTATCCACCAGGGACTGTGGCAGCTCCTTCAGCTGAGTACACCCATCCAGATCCACCTCCCTCAGACAGGACAAACTGCCCAAGTCGCTGGGTAGGTCCCTCAGAGCCTTGCAATTTTGGAGCGAGACTTGAATAAGTGATGGGAGGGAGAATGGAAACGGGAGAAAACGTAGCTTGGAAAGACGATTGAGTTTTAGAGACGAAAGGCGGGGGAAGGAGGACAGAGATTCCGGTAGACAAGTGATTTTGGGACAGTAGCTGATGCTGAGTTGTATGAGGGAGGAGAGTAGAGTGAAGGAAGATGGAAGGTCCTGCAGGCTTTTGCATAAATCCAAACCCAACTCGTTGAGTGCCTTCAGCTGCCCAAGATTCTCGGGCAGGTGAGTCAGAAGAGGAAGGGACTTGAGATCAATCTGCTGCAGTTTGGGAAGGGTGGCCATGGAGGAGGGGAGCGATGTCATGGCATGGCACTTCTCTAGCAGCAGCACCGCCAGCTCCCTCAAATCGCCTAGGTTTTCCGGAAGCGCAGGGAGGTTGGTGTTGACAATGTGAAGGTGCACCAGCGACGACAGGCGCCCCAACCCAGCCTGCACTATCGATCCAGGCATCCTCGGAAGCTCAGGCAGAGGGGTGTGAGGTGTGCCCTCCTCTTCAGCTTCGGCTTTAGCTGGGGTTTGGGAGAGGGCTGGGGGGGCTATAAGGTGCGTGAGAAATCGGAGGTCATATAGGTTCAAGTGACGAAGGCGGTCGAGGGAAAGGAATGATTCTGGGAGGTAGTGGGCTGACTTGAAAACATTTGAGATGATAACAGTCGATAAAGATTGCGGAAGGGTGATAGTCGGTACTAGTGGGGGAGGCAAATGAGTGGGGGAGGAGGGGAATGAAGAAACTGAGTTGGTGCTTGAGGAGGAAAGTTTTAGGCTAGTGCATTTTTCGAGCGTGAAATGCTTCAGCCTAGGCAGCAGATGGAGGCCTTCTGGAAGGGTTGTTAGCTTTGGACAGGATGAAATTAGCAGTTCTTGAAGAAGCGGGAGTGGAGTGATGGTGGTGGAAAAGGCGGAGGTGGCAGCAGATGAGGTGGCAGCAGCTGAAGTGTCAGCAGATGAGGTGGCAGCAGCTGAGGTGGCAGTGAATGAGGCGGCAGCAGCTGAGGTGGCAGTGAATGAGGCGGCAGCAGCTGAGGTGGCAGTGAATGAGGCGGCAGCAGCAGCAGCAGCAGCAGAGGTGGCAGCAGGAGCAGAAGATCCATCAGCTGGGGCACCAGCCTCAGCAGAGGGCAGGAACGACGGAAAGACCTTTAACTGCTTGCACTTCTCCACTTTCAAAACCTTGAGGCTGCGCAGACTGCCCATGCCGCTTGGAAGCTCCTTCAGCAACCTACACCCATCGATTATCAGCTGCTCCAGGCGCGTGAGCAGGCTGAAGGAGGGGGGAAAGCTACGCAGGGAGCAGAATCCGTCCAGCTCAATCTCCTGACCTTCGCTGGTGTATGTGTCGGTACCTTGCACTTTGAGGATCTCCAGGCTCGGCAGCTCCCCGAACCTATCGGGCAGGTACTGCATGGCGCAGTTTAGTAGCTCTAGTGTACGGAGCTTCGGCAGATTCTCGAAACCCAGAGGCAAGTCTATAAGCGAGGATCCACCATAGATGAGTAGGGTTTCTAGTGAAGAGAGGTTGGTGAACGAGGCAGGGAGCTCGAATAGGTTGTAGCATTCGTAAATAATCAGCTCTTTCAGCTGCCCTAGCTGCCCGAACGAGTCAGGCAGGTGAGAAAGGCTTGTAGAAAACAGCTTCACAGTGACCAAGTTTTGCAGCTGCCCGATGTCTCCGGGCAGGCCCGAAAAAGAGCAGCCGTCAAGAATGAGGCTTGTCAGTGCTCCCATGGCGGATACAGACTCGGGGAGGTTCACGAGATTGGCGCACTCAACCACTCTCAACTCCTTCATTGCCAAAAGGAACCCCAGGGAATGCGGAAGAGCCGTAAGTCGATCAAGAAACTTCAGGCGAAGCTGCTGGAGAGCGGAAAACTGGCCGATAGATTCCGGCAGCGAGGATAGGCGTTTGCAGTCGTGGATGGTGAGACTCCGGAGGGGGGGAGATCCCAAGGGTTGGCCAGCAGGCAACTGGCCGAACGAATTGGGAAGCGAAATGAGAGCAGGCAGATCGTCTATATGCAGCGTATCTAGGGCGGGCAGCTGGAAGAGATTCTCGGGTAGCATGGCGAATCGGCGACAATGGTCGATAGAAAGGTGGGAGAGCGCGGGCAGTTGACAGATGGATTCCGGAAGAGCAATGAGGCGACGCAGATACGATAGGCTTAGGATCTTGATGCTACGAAGCTGGCCTAAATCGCTCGGGAGATGGCTTATAGGGCAGTTGCGAAAGGAGAGAAGCTCCAAGGAGGTGAGACACTCGAAGAAAAGAGGCAGCTCGCGAAGAGACTGCGACACGATGAGTAACTGTTTCAGTCGCAACAAGCCGCACAGCTCCTCTGGTAACCCGGTAACGCTACTGAATCTCATGCTGAGGCGCGTAAGCTGCTGTAAGTGGCTAATGGAAGCTGGGATTTCAGAAACACCTCTTCCGAATCTTAAATCCAGATTGACCAATCGCGTGCAGGAATTGAAGATCTCGGAGACGTCTGAGGGCGAGATTGGTGCAAGGCTGGTCGGCTGATCCCTGCTAGGTATTGACTGATAGCTTGTTCCACTACTGGATGTCACTCGTCGGCGATCGTACAGGTGCATTGTGAAATGGGTCAGCGACGAGCCGCATCCGTCGCAGATGGATCGCACGAGGTGGCGATCTACGATGTCCGTCGCGAATTCGCCGAGGTGCAGGTGGCGAAGGTTCGGGAATCCCAAGGTGGGTGAGACCAGGAGCGAGGCGAGAGTTCGTGCAGAGAAGAAGCGATTTCGAGGCACGACGATGGCGGGATGCACGGATCTGGCGACGCGCAGCCATCGCTTGCACACGAGAGCGTGGCGGAAGGCAGTGAGCGATGAGGCTGTGGCGACAGGAGCCTCGGGTAACCCGAACAAGACGCTTTCGCTCGGCAGATGCTCGTTCAACGCGTTCTCGATCCTTTTTTGCAGAATGGGCTCGTTACTGGGACAGTCGTGGGTATCGAACTTGGTGTCCTTAGATGCGACAAGGAGAAGAATCGTTTCTAGCAAATCGTCAGAAATCCTTGAAAAGGGATCATCATGGCTGCTAATTCGTTGCCGGCGTTCTGGCTGACCAGGGGCCCTTGGCAGCTGTGGTATGTCCCCTTGCGCTATCTCAATAGTACCCATTTGGCTGATGATTTAGCAGATGCCAAGTACTAAGCTAAGCTCATAACAACACTGCAGTCGAAACGTGACGGAACAGCCTACTCCAGTGTCGCCCTCTAGGTCGGTTTTTTGAGTACACGGTTTCCTTGCTTGCTTGGGGTGCGTATGGAACCTCGCCGCACGTCCATGCTTCGGATGGTGGCGATGCCGAAGCACCGGGGCTGGGAGTTTTGACCAGATGTGCCTCATGGGGGTCCGCCATATTTCATTCGTTGATAGGGAGTTTCAGTCTGTTTTAGAGTGGTTTCAAGCGGTGAAAAACTGCTGCTCTGCCTCAATGTTGGTAGACGAACACCAAAAACGAACACCAGAATTTCGAAATCATCGAGTTCTTCTCGCCTTGCCACTCTCCCAAACCACCGCAGCTCCGAACCATACCAAACCAAGCTCCAAACTACACGAAGCCAAACCGAACAAAATTTCCAAACCAACCTGGTCGCCTCCGAACTTAGGACGAGCCTGGTTTCCCGTCAAATTTCATTCCCAGTTTCCCGCCAGTCTGGTTTCTGTCAAACAATGGCCTGCTCAACCTGATGCTACCACTCACGAGCACCCAGAAGCAGCAACCCCAGCTCTCTGATTCACAAGCAGCAGCTTTTTGATTCACGAGCAGCAGCAAGTCTCTGATTCACAAGCAGCAACAACTCCCTGATTCACGAGCAGCAGCAAAGCTCTGATTCACAAGCAGCAGCAACTCTCACAAGCCCTTACCTTACCAGTCTTCCATTATCATTTTTCTCATGTTGCCTACCTCTCAGCTAGCATCCGAGGAGAACATGAAGCAAACACCAGCGGAAACATCTCAGCAGCCTTTTGTTCAGGCTGCAAACCAGCCGCTTGCAGCGACGCAGCAGAAAATGATCGGTGATATCTTTTCCCGCATTTCTGACGACCTGCTGGGGGTGATCCTTCGTTTTGTTGCGTCTAACGGCAATAGTCTTGACAGCAGTGATTCGCTCGCTAATGAGGAAGACGATCTCCAGAAAAAAATTGAGGATGCATTGCAGAAGCCGCCGCCATGCGAGAGCCAGCGGTTCGGCACGACAACGGTTACTCCTTCCGAGACTTGCTCCTTAGTCACGTTCAGCCACGCTCTGGTCTGCAAGCGATGGCTGCGCGTCGCCCGCTCCGTGCATCCCGCCATCATCGTACCTCGAAACTGCTTCTTCTCCTCAAAAGCTTTCGCCTCCCTCCTCGCTCCACCAAAGTCTAGGTTCTCGAATCTTAGTCACCTGCATCTCGGCGAGTTCGCGTTAGACTCCATTGATAGCAACCTCGTGCGATCCATTGCACCGGGTGCGGCTCGTCCCTGACGCATCTCACGATGCACCTGTACGATCGACGATTCTCGCGATCCACGCAGCACGACCGTAGCAGAGACCATGAACAGTCGACCAGCCTCGCACCGTCCGATGTCGCCACCATCTTCGAATCCTGCTCGCGATTGGTCAATCTCCAGTTGAACGGCGTTCAGGAGATTCCGGCTGCCATCAGCCGTCTGCAGCAGCTCACGAGGCTCAGCGTGAGGTCAAGCGAAAGCGTTACCGGGTTACCAGATTCGATTTGCGAGCTTCTAAGACTCACGCGCCTTTCTCTCAACCATTGCCCGCGGCTGACAAGGCTGCCGGAAAACCTCGGCCAGATTTCTACTCTCCAGTACCTGCACCTCCACTCTCTCTATGAGCTCAACGTTCTTCCGGACTCCGTGGGCCTGCTGTCTGGACTTAAGGAGATGAAAATCGTTGACTGCTTCCAGCTGGGGGGTTTCCCCCAGTCCGTTTCTACCATGGAGTCTCTCACCAGCTTCGTTCTCGACGGCTGTGCTGTTAGCGCACTGCCCGAAGACATCGGGCAGCTTCAAAACTTGACATGTATGAAGCTGTCTTGCTCTGGGCTCATGGAGCTGCCGGAAACTTTCGGGCAGCTTGGGAAGCTGAGGGAGCTGATCCTGCATGCGTGCTACGACCTGGCTGGCCTCCCAGCCTCCTTCTCTAACCTCTCTTCGCTGGAAACGCTGGAGATCTATGGTGGAACCTCTCTTGAAGCGCTGCCTTTGGGGTTTGAGCAGCTGCTGCAGCTGAGGAAATTGGAGCTGTTTAACTGCTCCATCACCGAATTGCCTGAAGATTTTGGTGACTTGGCGAACCTGAAAGTTTTTAAGATCGGTACCAGAGATACTTACACCAGGAGAGGGTCTCATGCTGACAGTTTTTTAGCTGGTGGTCCCAGGAGTTCGGATGCAGAGGCTGTTTCCGAGTCTGACTTAGACGGGTCATGTGCTCTTGTTACTCTTCCACGGTCCTTCGTTCACCTCACTGGTCTGGAGCTGCTGATAATCCACAGATGCGAGGAGCTAGAGGAGCTACCAATAGGCATGGGTAATCTGTCCAGCCTGAAATCTCTTGAGGTGATGAATTGCGAGAACCTGCGTGTCTTCCCTTCACTCTTGGCTCGCGTTGAACCAAGACCTTCTGCTGCTGCTGCTGCCGCCGCCTCTGCTGCTACTCCTGCTGCTGTCGCTGCCACTGCATGTTCTTCCGGAGCGGAACCTTCCCCCTCTGCTAGCTACATTCCCCTGCCATCGCTCCAGCATCTGGAGATCTCTGGCTGCCGCCAACTGGAATTCCTGCCAGAGGGCCTCGATCGGCTGCCTAGGCTGGAAAATCTCACGCTTGCAGACTGCACGGATCCAAGATTTGCCGACCAGGATGTTTGGCTCTCCAGTTTACTTTCCGGCTCCCGGCCTCTTTCTGCACCCATCTCTCTTCCACTCTCCCTGACTTCCATTTCCATTTCAAGAACCTTTCGGGCAGCTCACTACCTGCCCGAGTCCTTCCTTTCCCTCAGCCGTCTTACTAATCTGAATATTCGTGGCCTTGATTCCCTCAAGCAGCTGATAGCCCCTCCGACCTCACACCAGAGTCCATCGGATCTCCCCTTACCCATCTGGCAAGCTAGATTGGAGCTCCTGTCTTCTCTCACGTGCCTGCAAATCAGCCACACAAAGCTGCCTTCGCTCCCAGATAACCTGAGCGACCTGAGAGTACTGAAAGTACTTGCTCTAGAGAACTGCCCTGCCATGTCACTCCTTCCTGCCTGCCTGCCCGACCTTTCCAATCTCGAACAGCTGTCCATCAAGTCTCTCCCGCTGCTTATGCGCCTGCCCGAAAACCTTGGGCAGATGAAGGCTCTTCATGTGCACCTAGAGTCATGCCAGGACTTGCAAGGCCTTCCTCCTTCCCTCACTCTCATGCCCTCCCTCATATGCCTGAGCATTGTTGACTGTCCTCGAATCACCAGCCTCCCAGATTCCATCTCCTCCCTCTCCCACCTCACATCTCTGAAACTCAACCAACTGCCTGGTCTGCACCATGTCCCGCCCACTCTCCCCCTCCTCCCGTCCCTCGTCAAACTTTCGCTTAGAGGGTGCACTGGATTATGTGCCCTGCTCGGCGACTTGGGCAGTTTGTCCTGTCTGAGGGAGGTGGATCTGGACGGGTGTAAGCAGTTAAAGATGCTTCCTCAATCGCTTCTGGACAGGCAGAATGTGATTGAAGTGATGGGCAGATGGGGCGGCGCTGGAAATTGAAGTGCTGGAGCTGTTTCTTGAGTTTGTTAGCATACCACTGATCCTTCTTTTGTTGACATATGTTTAGGAATATAGAGTTACAAAGATCAGCTTGAAATTCACACTAGAAGTGCGTGCAGCTTACATTGGATCAGCATGTTATTACAGGTTCCCTATTTAGCAGGTCACGTAGCAAGGTTAGTATGTTACTGTGTAGATATGTAGCATTTTTTCGAAGACCTTTCAGTGAAGTTACGGCAGGTGCGAGTTCCAAGCGCCTGCCAGATCGTTGTTGGGGAACGTCTATGGCATTTGATGTGAGCCATAAGTTGCTGTCTATTGCTGTACGTGTGTGACATCCTTGGAGTATAACGCGCTTTAGAATGCCGTACTCAGTGAGCATTCAGCCGCACGGCCTTGTAGATATTCAGCGAGCCACTCAATTCACGGTTCACCCTCTCGCCTCGGTTCTTTCCATCACCGCGGCATCAGCACGTTAGCCTCGTGTGACAAAGTGATTACTGCGCGACACCCGGAACGACCGAGCTTCCAAGGCTTCCCGCTTTTGAAAGTCTAATGGAAGACTGTTCAGAATGACCACGGCGGTTAAATTCCCCTCTTAGGCAGAGACGCGCCGCTAAGGAAGCCGTTATTGTCGCCGTGATGGCCGCTGTGTCCGCAGCAGCTACTGTGCGGCCGATTTACCTCCGAAGTAGCCACCTTCCGCTTATTGTCACATCAGGGGTATCTTCACGACGCATCGGATTCAGCAGAAATCCCCGTACCAGCAGCGGCTGCAGCAGCAGCAGCAGCCGTCCATTCGCGAACGCACGTCTCCTCTCTGCCACACCTTTCCCGCTCCTGAGCTCACATACGTTCGTTGCTCCCTCGAATTCCCGTTTTAGCAGTAACCACCCGTTCGGCCACAATTGCCGGCTCGAAGCATCAGCGGTGGAGGGGAGTGTGAGCTCAGGGATTGCCGATGGGGGAGGCGGGGTGCAGAGCGAGGGGGAGGATGAGGAGGGGGAGATGAGAGGGGAAGGGCGTGGAGGGGAGAAGAAGGGCGAGAGAGACGAAAAGAGAATTTCTGATGGAATTTTAGAAACGAGTATGGTTGAAACGAGTCAGTTTGAAACGAGTGTGATTGAAACGAGTCAGACAGGCAAGGCTGGCGTTGTTGGGAACAAGAGAGAAGCTGTTGCGGCCGCTCTGAGACGAACGGCTGATCTACTTGGTAATGTTCAGCCGTTCGTCTCAGAGCGGCCGCAACAGCTCCTTGACAACCTTATAGTAGAGGTGCCACGTAAGCTGAAAAGAGCTGCTGACGTTGCTGCGGAGGCACCTCGAGCGTTGACCCATGCTGCAGGTGAGGTAGCTCGAAAGGCTGGGCAGAAGCTGACTCAGCTGCCGGATTCTGTCTTTGACTTGGGTAAACGCACTGGTCAACGCGTCAAAGGCAGGCTGGGAGACTTGGCAGGTAACAAGGCAGGGAAGCAGTTGGTTCATCTGCCGGATCTTGTCTTTGACTTGGGTCAACGCGCTGGTCAGCGCGTCAAAGGCAGGCTGGGAGGCATGACAGGGCATAAGGCTGGGAAACATTTGGCTCAATTTCCAGATGCAGTCATTGACTTGGGTCAACGCTCGTACTGGTCAACGCGTCAAAGGCAGGCTGGCAGAGATGGCAGGTAACAAGGATGGGCAGAAGTTGGGGAAACTGCCGATTCCTGCCTGTGACTTGGTTCAACTGCCAGATTCTGTCTTTGACTTTGGTCAACGCACTGGTCAACGCGTGAAAGGCAGGCTGAGGGATCAGGCTGGTGGGTGGAGGAGGAGACTGAGTCAACGCTTGGTTGACCAGTCCAATGCAGTGAGTACAGCTGTAGATGGGTCTCAGGACAGGGAAGAAACAGGTGTAGCCTCGGCAGGTGTAGCTTCGGCAGGAGTTGGAACAGGCTCGGCAGGTGTTGGATCAAGTTCGGTTTCAAAGAAGACACATGAGAAGCAGGTTAGAGTGCGGATTCGAACCTCTCTAACATCGAAGGAACAAGGGCAGAAGCTCAAGCAGCACGCACAGGCGCTGAAACAGCAGTCCCAAGCACTGCTCAAAGAGGCGTTGAGGCAGAGAGCTGAAACACTTGCAGGTGCTGCTGCTGCTGCCAGTCCTGAAAGAATCCGGGTTTTAAGAAAAGCTGCCACTGCTGCTGTCAGCCTTTCTGTCTTAGCAACCACTGCCGCTGCAGCTGCTGCTGCTGCTGCTCGTGGGGGGTTGGTGGTGGGCTCTGTTGGCGGTAGTGCTGCCTTTGCTCGTCAGATTGCCAGGAGAAGGTATGCTGGTGGTAGTGGTGCTGCTGCAGTGGTGGTGGTGGGAGGTGATGGGTATGCCACTGCAGAAGTGGCTGCCAGTGGTGATGTGTGTGGTGATGATTGCATAGGTAGTGGTTGTAATGGGGTGGAGAACGGTGCTGCTAGGGAGGGGGATGGGGATTATAGCGAGGGGAGGCGTGGTGCCAAGTCTGGTGGTGTGACCAATGGCAGAGGTGCTACAATGGGAGATCCACCAGACCCTAGTGGACATTTCCAAGAGGCAAAGAGACTAAGGATGGAAGAGGAGGAGGAGGGGGGAAACAGAAAGGCGGAAGGGGTGGGGGAGGAGGAAGGTGGAGTGAAGAAGCAATCTAGGTTGCAGCAGCTGCAGCAGTGGTGGGCATCGTTACTAGCAGCATGCGCCACTGCTCTCAAAGAGACAGTGGGGAAGCAGCTAGCAGGGGGGGTGGTGACCCATGCTGCCCGGTGGTTGGCTGCTGGAATCACTGTGATTCTGCTGCTGCTGGCTCTTCTAGTCGCTGCTGCTGGTGCTTGGAGGGGGAGGGGGGGGAAGGGAGGGAGCGGAGGGTTGAGACGAGCAGAGCAGCAAGCGGTGAGCTCTGAATCGAGACAGAAATCTCTTGAAGGGGGTGCGGCGAGGTCAAGAGCGGTGGATTCCAAACAAGAAGGGGTGCTACGCGGTGCTGCGATGGATGGCGCAAGGGTTGCGCCGTTTGATATCTTGAGTGACTGTGTGGTGGTTGGTGGTGATGCAGAGAAGCATGTTCAGTTGGTTTCTTGGAGAGGGGGGACGACCAGACAGCAGCAGGAGGAGACTGCTGAGCAGCGATGGTGGCGGGAGAAGAGTGGGAAGAGAAGGAGACGAGGAGGGTCGAGTTGGATGATCAGTAGTAGCAGCAGCAGTATTCGTCGCACTTTTGATAAGGAGAGATTGAGCCAGCACAGGGCATGGGTTGGAGGCAAAGAGAGCGTTAGAGTGGTGAGTGGAGAAGCAGGACTAGTTAAGGAAGTCAAAGAAGTCAACGGGGGGGGTCAAAGGGGTAGTCAAAGGGGGGTCAGTGCAAGTGAATCCAGGAGAAGAGAGAGAGACGAGGCAAGGAGGGTAAAGGCAGAAGAAAGGAAGAGACAGAAGGAAATGGAGAAGGAAAAGGAGAGGGAACGAGAGAGGGAGAGGGAGAGGGAAAGGGAGGCGCTAGAGTATGAGATCTGGCTGCAGGGGGTGTGGGACGAGGCAGTAGCACGGGGCATATCGGAGGGGACAGTGAGGGAGGCGCTGGAAGGGCTGCAGCCGCTGCCTGCTGTGGTGGCTAAAGTGACTGGTGCCGCTGAGGTGGTGCTGACTGCCAGGCAGTATGTGGACAAGTGAGTGTAAGGAGTGAGTGGTGAGTAATAAATGCACTCACGGTAACACCTGGTGCTGGAAGGGCTGCAGCCGCTGCTTTCTGTGGTGTCTGATGGGACTGGTACAGCTGAGGTGGAGCTGACTGCACCTGCATGTGTATGTTGGTGTCATGAGCACTCCAAGAATATCCATCATTCTCTATTCTGCTATTGTGATATTCTGATATCCATTCCCTATTTAATTGTTTCGATTCGGTTGATTGCTGGGTGTACACAGGATGGTGAGTGATGCACGGGTGCTGGAGGGCAGGCAGGTAATGGAAGCTCACAGGAAGCTTCTGGCGGAGATTGTGGAGATCTACGGCGTGCCGGCCAATGTGATGACGGCGCTGTGGGGCATCGAGAGCAGGTGCTGTAACGAGGATGGGTGTTATAACGAGGATGGGTGTTATAACGAGGATGCATGGGCCGGGGACACCCACCCATGCATGCACAAGATGGATGACCATCATCGGCATGGTGGTGCATGAAAGTATCACGAGGGAACAAGGAATCTACACACATCGTTCAAAAAGACGACCGTTTTTTTGAATTTTTACCGTAAAAAACGGTCGTAAAAAACGGTTTAAAACGGTTCCAGGAAGTGTTTCCTGTTTAACTAACAAAACGGCCACTTAGTGGGACCAAATTGAACCCGAAATGCAGCAGCATGAAGGGGACGGACCCCTTCTTGCATGTATGCGCTTGTTGGCATGATTGAAAATGTTTTTGACCTTGTTTTTCTCATTTTTTTCTTAATAAACAGAGTTCTCTAACATAAAAAAGGCCGTTTTTTTGGAAAATCACCGTAAAAAACGACCGTAAAAAACGGACCGTATTTTACGAAAACCGTAATTTTGAACCTTCCATCCACATGCAGCATCTCCCTTGCTCCAAATGTCCTTTCCCCCACTGCCCTAGAGGATATTGAGGGTGATTTACCCCCATCTTGGAGCGTACCCATTCCCCCATCCTGTAGTTTCTGCTCTTCGTTGTTCCTCTCTTTGTTTGTTGTGTGCTGTGCTGTGCTGTGCCTTGTTCTGTTGTGTGTGCCTGCTGACGTGGCAGCTATGGGAAGAACATGGGCAAGTGGGACGCCGTTCAAGCTCTGCTCACCCTCGCGTACCGTACAAAGCAGGTGAGAGGTGGTGTGGTGTGGTGTGGTGTGGTGCGGTGTGGTGTGGTGTGGTGTGGTGTGGTGTGGTGTGGTGTGGTGTGGTGTGGTGTGGTGTGGTGTGGTGTGGGGCTTCAGTGTGTCCTAAGACAAGTGGGACGCCATCCAAGCTCTGCTCACCCTTGCGTATCGTACGAAGCAGGTGAGATGTGGTGTGGTGTGGTGTGGTGTGGTGTGGTGTGGTGTGGTATGGTGTGGTGTGGTGTGGTGTGGTGTGGTGTGGTGTGGTGCGGTGTGAAGCTGTTCACGTGGTGCTCTGGTTCAGGTTAGATGACGTCCAGGCTCTGCCCACCTGTGCATGATGAGTGATAAGGTTGTCTGCTGAAGTGTGGGTGCGGCGCTTAGGTGTGCTCCACGTAATATTTTCTGAATTTCTCAGAAAAAAATACTTAACTTTCCTGATGTTTCCACTTGATCTGTACGATGAGTTTTTGTTCGATATTTCACGTGATATTATATTACCTGATGCTTTCTTTGTCTGGAAAAGAGCTTATGGAAGCCCTGGAATCCTCTAGAACAGTCAAGAACTCTCAATCGCACTGCACCGCACCACACTGTTCCTTCTCTCCTCCCTTCACTTCCCCAACACAGGCCCGCTGTGCTGCATTCTTTGAGGATAAGTTGAGCTGATGGATGCCCTGTCGATTCTTGAGAACAACCACCAAGGGCCATCGATTGCACTGCACTCCCACCAACCAGTTCCTTCTCTCCTCCCTTCCTTTTCTTTTATGCAGCCCCGCCGTGCTGCCTTTTTTCGGGAGGAGCTGATGGAAGCGCTGTAGATCCTCCAGAACAACCCAGGCCAAGGGCCCTCTCTTTCACTGCACTCCCACCAACCAGTTCCTTTTCTCCTCCCTTCCCTTTTCTCGTGCAGCCCCGTCGTGCTGCTTTCTTTCGGGAGGAGCTGATGGAAGCCCTTTCTATCCTTGAGAACAACCACAGGCCTTCTGTAGCAGCCAAGGGGCTTCCTGCTGTTCCTTCTGTTTCTGCTTCTGCCAATACAGCTACAAGCGCAGTGGGAGAGAGGAGGGTGCGGTTGCTAGGGTCCTATGCAGGGGCGATGGGGCAGTGTCAGTTCATGCCTTCATCTTTCAACGCATATGCCGTGGATTATGACGGAGATGGAAGGAGGGGTGAGTGATTGACTGTGGTGCTTACTCATGCCATTGCTGTAGTTTAGCTGCTAGTGGTGAGGAGGAGGGTGTGGCTGCTGGGATTGTATGCAGGGGCAATGGGGCAGTGCCAGTTCATGCCTTGTCTTTCACGGCATCTGACGGAGATGGGAGGAGAGGTGGGTGCTTGCATCCAAGGGCAATTACCTAATATATTTGCATCAGCTAAGGTGGCGATGGGCGGAGAGGTGGGTGCTTGCATCCAAGGGCAATTAGCTCATAAATCGCATTGTCTAAAAAAACATGGCAACCACCTTATGTTGTGCTGTTGCCTCATATACTCCTCTTGCCTCTCTCTCATCTTTCCCTCTCATCTCGCTCCTTCCCATGCAGATCTCTAAACATCCATTCCGGACCTGCTCACGTTAATAGCAAACGTTAAGTTGCCTGTCCTCCCATCGTTATTCATCATCACGCCTCTCCTTTCCCCTTTGCCCCTCATCTCCCCACCCACATGCAGACATCTGGACGTCCATTCCTGACGTGCTCGCATCAATGGCAAACTACCTCAAGTGCAACCAATGGAGGCGAGGAGAACCGGTGGGGGTTGAGGTAAGCAAGACTTACTGTGTTACTCAGCACACTCTAGAATCAATGGCCAAATACCTCAAGTGCAACAGATGGAGAGGAGGAAAACCAGTGGGGGTTGAGGTGAGCAGGGGGAGAGTTCACCCAAAGACCATAACCACATGTCATGCCATCATCCGTGAAGGAACACACCCTCACGCTCACAGGTTTTCTTTTGAGGCGCGTGAAAACACACCTCTCACACCTCTCCCACCTCTCACACCTCTCACGGGCTTTTCCCACCACCCCCCACCCCCACTCGTCTCTTACTGTTGATTCGTGGGGACCAGAGCCGTGTATCTGCAGTCGAGTCTAGACCCCCCTGTTCCTCCTTCCTTCCATTGGTTTCGAAATCTCTTAAGAGGTATCCTGAAATATCTGAGGGCCGGAGTCAATGAGGAGGAGCACAAATGGGGAGTCCAAACAGCCTCTGTTCATTCAGGCTCATCGCTCGATCCTCTTTCCCTCTTTCAAACAACCATGCCCCTCTTTCCCTCTTTTAACCAACCATGCCCCTCTTTCCCTCTTTTAAACAACCATGGCCCTCTTTCCCTCTTTCAAACAACCATGCCCCTCTTTCCCTCTTTTAAACAACCATGCCCCTCCTTCCCTCTTTTAAACAACCATGCCCCTCTTTCCCTCTTTCAAACAACCATGCCCCTCTTTCCCTCTTTCAAACAACCATGCCCCTCTTTTCCTCTTTCAAACAACCATGCCCCTCTTTCGCTCCGTCAGGTGGTCCTGCCCCCAGACTTCCCGTCCTCGCTCTTAAAGCCCGCCGCGAAACTCACCGTGGCGGAGTGGCAGCAGAAGCACGGAGTCAGAATCGCTGATGGAGGCGGTGGTGGTAGCAGTGGAAGTGGGGAGGGTCATGGGAAAGATGGAATCGACGCCACGTCTCTGCCGCCTGATATGATTGCCTCTCTCGTATGCTCCCGCTGCTCTCCCTTTTGATCTCCAACGAGTTTCAACTTATTACCACCTTTTGGATCCACTCAAATGCCACACCTCTGCCACCTGATATGATTGCCACTCTTGTATGCTCCTGCGGCTTTCGCAAAAGTGAGAATTCTCAAAAGTGATGCCCTTACGCAAGCCGCATTGCTACTCACTTGCTCCTCCTCGCAACCATTGTACGACACGTACCCATTACTTTCCTGCTTGCTCCTTCACTCGCCCATTGCACCAATTTGCCCCCCTCCTTCCTTCGCCATGTTTCACCAATTCCTTTCCTCCCGCCAATCTATCTCACCTTCATCTTCCTACCCCCCCTTTGCTCCTCCCAGTGGCATTCTTTCCTTCTACTTGTATATCCCATTGCCTCCCGCTCTGATTCAACTGAGATCAGTCAAGGGAACGTCTCTTTAATGCGGCTTCCTCCCCCCCTCCACTGGTCCTTCGTCGCTCTTCTCCCATCTGGCTTCCACCTCCCCAAGATAACTACCTAACTTTTGAGGCGCCTCAAAAAACATTGCTCCTTTCCTTTCCATTCCTCCCACCTCCCCCAGGTGGCACCTGACGGTCCAGCTGGCGTCGCTTACCTGGCGTGCCACAATTTCCACGTCATCCTGCGCTACAACCCCTCCTCGCTGTACGGGCTCGCCATTGCTGAGCTGGCACGCAGACTGGGGTAATGAAAAAAAAAATCTCAGTGTTGCTACACAAGTCACACGAGAGTTAGCCTAGATGGCTGAATGTGCAGCGGCTGTGAGAACCTTTTTGAGTCAACGAAATACCCTGAGTGGGATGATGAGCTCTTGGTTGGTGTTAGCTACAGATGTGTGGGTAAATAAAGAAAAAAAGCTGGTTCTTGCAAAAAAAAAAAAAACGTGTTACGTGAAATATTGCAAAATGCTAAAAAAAGGAGAATAGGAAAAGGCTGGTTCTTGCTAAAACGTGTTATGTGTTATGTGCTGCATGTGGAATGGAGAGTAGGGGGGAATATTTGCTGAGAGGGTGTTTTTATACCTAAAAGCTATATGTGCTCATGTTCATGAGGAGGTAGATCATGAACTTTTTTCTCCATCCTCGGTAACTCCAAATGCCATTCTTGCGGCCAAGGATCAACAGCCTGATCGCCACTTCACAAGAAATCCCTGTTCCACCATCCACCAGCAACACGCTACTCTCTGCCCTTAGGGCGTGTTCGCTAAATATCTGAACGTTCGAACTTTTGTTCGTAACAAAGTTTCGCGAATGTCGCTAGATGACTTCGCAAATTCCCCGTCTCGTAGGTGTCCACTCCGTAATACACTTCGAAATCGGTTTCTTCACTCTCGCTAGTTCGATTGAGTGAAACCTCCACAATTTCTACAATTTCGAACATTCCGCCATGCGATTTTGTCGCAAATTCACGAATTAGTACGACCGATGCGACACGTCAAGTCGCTTGGCGGGAATGTCATTAACATCAGCCACGTCGACCTGTCAGATCCTATTTTAGTCGTATGCATCCCGTACGACTCTGATTGTTTTTCGCACGCGGTTCGCAAAAGTCGAATTTAAAGTGTGTCACATTTGAGCACCATTTCAATTTCGTTTCATTTTGTGTCACACGCACCGTTATTGAAATTTCTGAATAACTGGTGTTCGAATACTGCAGGCAACAAAAATTTGATTCCAGAATTCGACTTTCACCACATGATGGCAAAACGAACACGCCCTTATCCGCGTTTTTGGTTGGATTTTGTACCTTCGGCTTCGCGTGTTCTGCTGCTTGGGGAGACGAGACGAGCCAACAAGCAACAAAAGGAGCTTACAGCTCCTATTGAACTCCCTTTGCCTCGCAGGTCTGCTGCAGGCTTCTGTGTTGTCCGGCAAGGTCGTAGTAACTAATCAGCTCCGGCCCCGGCCGTCGCGGGAGCTGCTGGTGTTCGTATCTTAAGTCGCGGGTAGCTTGAATACGTAGAATTTTCTCAGAAGTTTAGTACTGCCGGTACTTTAGATACGCCATGGCGGATCGGTTGACGCGTATTGCAATCGTGAGCGGCGATCGCTGCAAGCCCAAGAAGTGTCGGCAGGAGTGCAAGAAGAGCTGTCCAGTCGTCAAGACTGGTACCGTCGTCGCCGTCCCACCTTCTCTCTCTCGTTCTGTCGTTATTCCTCCTCTCCGCCCTCGTTAGATTCACGAATCCGATCGCTTTTTTCCTTCGGGTGACCATTCGAGCCTTCTCAGAAGCCCCTTTTCGTTTCGCCGCCTAGTTGCATTTACGAGTCCGATCACGGTTTCTCGCGGGTGTTTCGCATCCTCCTCTTACGACCCGTCAGCAGTATATCCTCGAGTGTCGCGCTATCAGTTCGACTTAACCTTGTCTTGCGTCTCGACTTCGACAATATTGTTATGCTGATTTTCCCCATTATTTCCCTCAGCCTCACGTGCACGGTCGTATAATATATGCCTCCGACCCGTTCTTCCTGACTGCTGATTTGTTGACTCGTTCAATGTCCCTGACCCGTTGACTCGTTGACTCGCTTGTTACAGGCAAGCTATGCATCGAGGTCAGCTCCACCTCCAAAATCGCCTTCATTTCCGAAGAGCTCTGCATCGGTTGCGGTATCTGCGTCAAGGTGAGCGTCTGCGTTGACAACGGTTACTTCGCTCCCAGTATTCGCAGTATCGCCTTCCTTCTGTAAAGTTGACATGCGATTTCTCGATATTTTTGGTCGGTAATTCACCAAAAAAAAAAAAAGGGTGTGTGTTTTTGCGTTTTGTGGTGGCAGAAATGTCCGTTCGACGCCATTGAAATCATCAATCTGCCCAAGGACCTCGATAAGGACACCACGCATCGCTACGGCCCCAACACCTTCAAGCTCCACAGGTGACGTCAGAATCTGTGGTTTCAGACTCTACAGTGACGTCAGAGTTAGCAGCTTCAAACTCCATTAGTGCCAGCCTCGCGTTGCTTCACAGGCTAGGCTGGGCTCCACGGCCGCGCGCAGCAGTCGGCGTCCTAATGTTGCAGGCTGTAACGCTGCAGACGAGATTGAGCCGTTACATTGTTGGGTGTAGAGTAGAGCACGGGATATCGCCTAGCGCTTCTAATGTGAGAGCAATTACGTGTTGTGGATCGACGATGTTACGTTTTGAGGCGAGTCAGAGGCAGCATTCAACGCTGATAGCGCACTTGCAAGAGTTGTCAGTTTCACACGTGGTGGTTCGCTGAGGAGGCCCGCGCGAGGGGTTAGGTCTACCATTGGCAGCAGAACTAGGGTTTACTGAGATCATGCGCTGCAGGCATCACATTCGACACACGACCAGCTTTCGTTCGAGCCTATCACAGGCGACCAATACTAGTTCCTTTCTTGCGCCGACCTTCACCTTCATAGCAGCGCTAGGCGTACGAAGCCCGTTCGTGCAGCTGCCTCCGACCAGGGTTCAGGGTTTTACGGGGCACCTCCATCCGTCCCTGGCATTCTCCGACTCCTTTCCATCCGCCCGTCTAATATTGCCCTCCCTGTGACAACCGCAAAGAACTATAGCCGTTAGTCGGCTTCAGCCTCCAAATGTATATGTCAGACGAGGGTGATAGACTGCCAGTGCCAGCACCTCTTGAATCCACAGAACCACTAACAACCGATCCTCCCGCCTTATGCCCCATCACCACCGCTGCAGGTTGCCAGTGCCGCGGCCAGGCCAGGTGCTGGGTCTGGTGGGCACGAATGGCATTGGCAAGTCAACGGCGCATTTCCCCCCCACCCCAACCCCTGCGTATGCCCCACTCCCAACGCCTGTTTCCCAGGCTGCCCGTGCCGCGGCCAGGCCAGGTGCTGGGTCTGGTGGGCACGAATGGCATTGGCAAGTCAACTGCGCTCAAAGTTCTTGCGGGCAAGCTCAAGCCCAACCTTGGGCGTTTCAATGTGAGCATCCAGCCGCCCATTCCCTCCTCTCACTCCCTTTGAGGCACCTCAAAAGGCACCACCAACAATTGCGCAATGTGAGCATCTATCGTAGCCCCACGGTTTCCTCAGGTCACCTCTATCCTGACCTTTTGAAATCGACTCAAATGTCTGATCTGCATGCTCTTTGTAACCCTTTTTCTTGCCCTTGCACCTGCTCAATTCAACGCATCATCGTAGCTGCTTTCCATATAACCGTCTCTGCTAGCTTTCCTGCAACGAACAGCCAGACGTGTAGTGCTGTACTCTCTCCTTGCCGCTCGTTCTGCCTCGAATATCTCTCTCCTTCCACTCCTGTCCTTCTCATTCTGCCCTCCTTTTCCCACGTTTGTTCATGTCTTGCGTGCACACAACCCCCCCCCCCCCCCCCCCCCCCCCCCCCCCCCCAACCCCCCCACCCATTTCCCTCTCTTCCTACCCACCAAAGTGGCAAGAGGTTTTGGCCTATTTTCGATGCTCGGGGCTGCAGAACTACCTCAGAAACTCCTCAGGAATAATACTCTGTCCTTCCCTTCTCCCCGCGTGTGTGCACCTGCCCCACATGCTGACGGCAGACCCCCCCCTGACTGGCAGGAGATTCTGACCTACGTCCGAGGGTAGGCGCTGCATAAATCGCTGTGAGCATTGGTCTCATTCCGCCCATTTCTCTGCCCTGTGTGCCGTGCTTGCTGTGTGTGCAGAACCCCCCTGACTGGCAGGAGACGCTGACCTACTTCCGAGGGTAGTAGCTGTATAATGTGCCATGAGCATTCGTCTCATTCCGCCCATTTCTCTGCCCTTGTGCCGTGCTTGCTGTGTGTGCAGAACCCCCCTGACTGGCAGGAGACGCTGACCTACTTCCGAGGGTAGTAGCTGTATAATGTGCCATGAGCATTCGTCTCATTCCGCCCATTTCTCTGCCCTTGTGCCGTGCTTGCTGTGTGTGCAGAACCCCCCTGACTGGCAGGAGACGCTGACCTACTTCCGAGGGTAGTAGCTGTATAATGTGCAATGAGCATTCGTCTCATTCCGCCCATTTCTCTGCCCTTGTGCCGTGCTTGCTGTGTGTGCAGAAACCCCCTGACTGGCAGGAGATTCTGACCTACTTCCGAGGGTCGGAGCTGCAGAACTACTTCACCCGCATTTTGGAGGATAACTTGAAGGTGGGGTGCGGTGGGAAGGGTTTTTCAGGTTTGGTCTGACATTGGGTGGTTAGGTTCTGACACTGCATGACCTGCACAACTGCTGCACTTGCGTTTTTTTAGGACAACCCCAAGGTGGGGTGCGGTGCAAGGGAGGCAAATGGGCTGCAATCGAGGGAATGGCGATCGAAGTAATTAAACGAGGACCACATATGAGAGAAGCGTCGCCTCCCATTAGGAGGATACCTTCCCTCTTTCCAACGCGACACACTGGTCCGTGTCCCGTTCTCTCTTGCCCTGCTGCTCCCTCCTGCCCCCCAGGCCATCAACAAGCCGCAATATGTGGACCATATTCCCAAGGCGGTGAAGGGGTTGGTGGGCGTGGTGCTCACAGAGGTGGGGTTCTCGAGACACCAAATATGTCTCTCGTGCCCCCCCACTCTCATTTTCTTCCCTCCCACCCCCACCCACCTTTCTGCAGGCCATCATCAAGCCACAGTACGTGGACCACATTCCCAAGGCGGTGAAGGGGTTGGTGGGCGTGGTGCTCACAGAGAAGGACGAGCGCCAGGCCAAGGAGGAGCTGTCGGAGGTGCTGGAGCTCAAGCAGGTGCGATGTGGTTCAGAGCGGTGAGAGGGGGTTCAAGGAAGGAGGTGCAAGAGTGGGGATTGAAGGAAGGTGGTGAAGGGGTTGGTGGGTGTGGTGCTGACAGAGAAGGACGAGCATGATGCCAAGGAGGAACTGTCGGAAGTGCTGGAGCTCAAGCAGGTGCGGATGCGGTCCAGAGCGGTGAGAGGGGGTTCAAGGAAGGAGGTGCGAGTGGGGCAGGGTTGTGAGGCTGCTTGGTGTGGAGAGTGAGGGAAGGCGGTGAAGGGGTTGGTGGGTGTGGTGCTGACAGAGAAGGACGAGCGTGATGCCATGCCAAGGAGGAGCTGTCGGATGTGCTGGAGCTCAAGCAGGTACAATGGGGTTTAGTGCGGTGTGAAGGGGTTCATAGAGGTGTGAGGGGGTTTTATGGAAGGAGGTGCGTGCGCAGCAGCGTTCTTGGGGGCAGGTGGGCGTGGTGGTGCTCACAGGGTGCATAAAGAGGCGATAGGGATCGTGAGGAAAAAAAAGCATTGATCGGTTTGCCATCGGGCCAACCAGCTAGTCTTACACGCCCCCATCTGGTTGCGCTTCCCCCGTCTAATTCCTTCCTCTTTGCCTTCCTCCCCTTTTCCCTTCCCTCGTCCAGGTGTGGGAGCGTGAGGTGGAGCATCTGTCAGGGAGGCGAGCTGCAGCGGTTTGCCATTGGAGTGGTGGCGGGACAGCTGGGAGACATCTACATGTTCGATGAGCCCTCTCCTCTTCCCCACCTAATCACCTATTCCCATCCCGATTCACCATTCCTTCCAGGTGTGGGAGCGTGAGGTGGAGCATCTGTCAGGAGGAGAGTTGCAGCGGTTTGCCATTGGAGTGGTGGCAGGGCAGCTGGGAGACATCTACATGTTCGATGAGCCCTCCAGCTACCTGGACGTGCGGCAGCGACTCAAGGCGGCACAGGTCATCCGCTCGCTGCTGCGCCCCGACAGGTGAGCACTGCTGTGCCGATAGGTGTGGCAACACAGACCACACGTGTGCACACAGACACACAGAGACACCACCGGCAGCTGGGAGACATGTACATGTTTGATGAGCCCTCCAGCTACCTGGACGTGCGGCAGCGGCTCGAGGCAGCCCAGGTCATCCGCTCGCTGCTGCGCCCTGACAGGTGCGCACTGAGCACTGTGTGTCCTGATAGGTGAGCTGCTACGGTCACATGCAGTGGATACCTCCATCTTCTGCTGCCCATAAGACAATCCATGTGCTGTGTGTGCAGAGTGGTCAGTTGCGCCTGCCCATACACCCACCGCTTCATCGCCTGTCCCACACATCCCTCATTCCAGATATCCGTGATTGTGGTGGAGCACGACTTGAGTGTTCTCGACTATCTCTCCGACTTCATCTGCTGCCTCCACGGCAAGCCAGGGGCATACGGGGTGGTTTTTCTGCGCTATCACCCCATGCACCCACTGCCCTGCCTACTCACTCCCCATCCCATCATCCCCCCCTTAGATACGTGATTGTGGTGGAGCACGACTTGAGTGTGCTTGGCTATCTCTCCGACTTCATCTGCTGCCTCCACGGCAAGCCAGGGGCATACAAGGCGGCTTTCCTGCGCTATCACCCCATGCACCCACTGCCCTGCCTACTCACTCCCCATCCCATCATCCCCATCCCCTCAAAACTATCTCTCTGACTTCATCTGCTGCCATGCACCCATGCATGCACCACCACTCACCCCTCCTTTTGCCCCACACGCCCTCATCCCCCCCCCTTAGATACGTGATTGTGGTGGAGCACGACTTGAGTGTGCTCGACTATCTCTCCGACTTCATCTGCTGCCTCTACGGCAAGCCGGGCGCCTACGGGGTGGTCACGCTGCCCTTCTCCGTGCGGGAGGGCATCAACATCTTCCTTGCGGGCTTCGTGCCAACTGAGAACCTGCGCTTCCGAGACGAGTCGCTCACCTTCAGGGTATGTGTGCCTATCTGCAAATCCTTCTTGCACAAGAGGAGGTCCGCCCTTCTCCGTGCGGGAGGGCATCAACATCTTCCTTGCCGGCTTCGTGCCAACTGAGAACCTGCGCTTCCGAGACGAGTCGCTCACCTTCAGGGTATGTGTGCCTATCTGCAAATCCTTCTTGCACAAGAGGAGGTCCGCCCTTCTCCGTGCGGGAGGGCATCAACATCTTCCTTGCCGGCTTCGTGCCAACTGAGAACCTGCGCTTCCGAGACGAGTCGCTCACCTTCAGGGTATGTGTGCCTATCTGCAAATCCTTCTTGCACAAGAGGAGGTCCGCCCTTCTCCGTGCGGGAGGGCATCAACATCTTCCTTGCCGGCTTCGTGCCAACTGAGAACCTGCGCTTCCGAGACGAGTCGCTCACCTTCAGGGTATGTGTGCCTATCTGCAAATCCTTCTTGCACAAGAGGAGGTCCGCCCTTCTCAGTGTGGGAGGGAATCAACATCTTCCTTGCGGGCTTCGTTCCGACCGAGAACCTGTGCTTCCGAGACGAGTCGCTCACCTTCAGGGTGAGCCTGCTTTTCTACACTGTCTCCTTGTTTTTCCTTTTTTTTTTTGGTGAATGAGTATGCACTATGGCAAATGCAAATACATTTGCAGTCGTAACTGTACACTGTCTCCTTGTGCAGGGGAGTCTTTCCTTGCATCAGCGAATTTTTCCCTCTCAGCGCAAGAGGGCACCAACAACTTCTACGCTTGCTGTATTCGTGCCTTAGTTTGGTTTTTCTCTCTTTTTTCCCCGTCTTTCTTTAGCCGAGATGCCTCAAAACTCGTTATTGATGTAAGGAAAATTAGCTTCTTGTTTGCAGGCGCTTGAAATCACGCACGCCTCCTTTCCCTCCTCCTCTCACCCTTCAGGTTGCAGAGACCCCAGTGGATAACCCTGGAGAGGCCAAGACGTACACGCGGTACAAGTACCCGAGCATGATAAAAAATCAGGGCAGGTTGAAGCTCTCTGTGTGCTCTTTCAGGTTCCTCAAAGCACTCCTTTCCTCTCTTCCACTCCCTCTCCTCCGCCTGTGCCTCTTCTTCCATCCCCGCTCCCATCAGGTGGCAGAAACCCCGGTGGATAATCCTGAAGAAGCCAAGACGTACACACGGTACAAGTACCGTACCCACGCATGATCAAGAAGCAGGGCGGGTTGAAGCTCCTCCTCCCCTCCTCTCACTCCGTTCTTTTTCCCCTCTCCATTCCATCTCAGGTGGCAGAAACCCCGGTGGATAATCCTGAAGAGGCCAAGACGTACACGCAGTACAAGTACCTGTGCACGATCAAGAAGCGGGGCGGGTTCAAGCCCACTGTGTGGGTGGTTTCAGGCGGCTAAGTAAGCCGTCTCTCTCCTCTTTTCATTTCATCTCACCCCATCATTTCTCCCATCAGGTGGCAGAAACCCCAGTGGATAACCCTGAAGAAGCCAAGACGTACACGCGGTACAAGTACCCGCGCATGATCAAGAAGCAGGGGGGCTTTAAGCTGACTGTGGAGCCGGGGGATTTCACGGACTCGCAGATCGTGGTGATGCTGGGGGAGAACGGCACCGGCAAGACCACCTTCATTCGTATGCTGGTATGTCTGCCGTCCTTTCTGGTTCCATAAGGGGCTTACGTCGACAGGGTTGGTTGGTAGTGGCACGGCTGCTGTCACTGACTCGCAGATCGTGATGATGCTGGGGGAGAACGGCACCGGCAAGACCACCTTCATTCGTATGCTGGTAAATGATTATCGTCTTTTGCTAAAGCATTCTTGAACACCCCTGCTCTTTTTCGTGTCGTACAAGCCGCAGAAGATCAGATCAGATCAGATCAGATCAGATCAGATCAGATCAGATCAGATCAGATCAGTTCAGCCCCAAGTTCCCCACTCACTCTCATTTCCACTTCCGCTCCAATCATCCCCTCCCGTCTCACTTTCAGCACAACCCCTTCCAGACGAGTCTGTTAAAGCAGGATCCAGACGAAGAGACCGGGAAAGAAGCGGCCGACCTGCCCAATCTGCCGTACAGGTCGCAGAAGATCAGATCAGCCCCAAGTTCCCTCTTTCTTTCTCTCCTCCCTCTCTCCCTCTCTGGTCTCCTTCTCAACCCCACCAGGCAGGTCTCTTGAAGCCCGACCCGGACGAGGAGACGGGCAAAGAAGCCGAACATCTTCCTGAGTTCAACGTGTCGTACAATCCGCAGAAGATCAGATCAGCCCCAAGTTCCCCCTCTCATTCTCTTTCCCGTTCCCCTCTCTCCTCACCTCCTCTTATTCACCCCACCTTCAGGCCGGCCTCTTAAAGCCGGACCCGGACGAGGAGACAGGCAAAGAAGCCGAGGATCTCCCCGAGTTCAACGTGTCGTACAAGCCGCAGAAGATCAGCCCCAAGTTCCCCACTCACTCTCATTTCCACTTCCGCTCCAATCATCCCCTCCCGTCTCACTTTCAGCACAACCCCTTCCAGACGAGTCTGTTAAAGCAGGATCCAGACGAAGAGACCGGGAAAGAAGCGGCCGACCTGCCCAATCTGCCGTACAGGTCGCAGAAGATCAGATCAGCCCCAAGTTCCCTCTTTCTTTCTCTCCTCCCTCTCTCCCTCTCTGGTCTCCTTCTCAACCCCACCAGGCAGGTCTCTTGAAGCCCGACCCGGACGAGGAGACGGGCAAAGAAGCCGAACATCTTCCTGAGTTCAACGTGTCGTACAATCCGCAGAAGATCAGATCAGCCCCAAGTTCCCCCTCTCATTCTCTTTCCCGTTCCCCTCTCTCCTCACCTCCTCTTATTCACCCCACCTTCAGGCCGGCCTCTTAAAGCCGGACCCGGACGAGGAGACAGGCAAAGAGGCCGAGGATCTCCCCGAGTTCAACGTGTCGTACAAGCCGCAGAAGATCAGATCAGCCCCAAGTTCCCCCACAGCGTGCTCAATCTCCTTCCCTTCTCTTCTTTCTTTGATCTCCCATGTCCATCCTATCCCACAGGCCGGCCTCTTGAAGCCCGACCCAGATGAGGAAACCGGCAAAGAGGCCGAGGATCTCCCCGAGTTCAACGTGTCGTACAAGCCGCAGAAGATCAGCCCCAAGTTTCCCCACAGCGTGCGCGCGCTCCTGCACTCCAAGATCCGCGACTCCTTCCACCACCCGCAGTTCAACACGGACGTGCTGCGCCCCATGCAGATCGAACCGCTGCTGGACCAGGAGGTTGTGAACCTGTCAGGAGGGGAGCTGCAGCGTGTTGCCATCACTCTCTGTCTCGGGAAGGTGAGAAAGAGCACACAAACAGGTGTGAGCTGGGGTGGTGGTGGTGGAAACCCTCTGTTTCCACCACCCGCAGTTCAACACTGACGTGCTGCGCCCCATGCAGATCGAGCCCCTGCTGGACCAGGAGGTCGTGAATTTGTCCGGTGGGGAGCTGCAGCGCGTTGCCATCACTCTCTGTCTCGGGAAGGTGTGTTTTAGCTAGGTGTGGGTGGGCAGAGATGCCACCACCCGCCAGTTCAACACGGGCGTGCTGCGCCCCATGCAGATCGAACCTCTCTTATACCAGGAGGTCGTGAATCTGTCAGGAGGGGAGCTGCAGCGTGTTGCCATCACTCTCTGCCTTGGGAAGGTATGTGGATGCAAACAGGTGTGTGTTGGATTGGTGGGTGGTGGTGGAAACCCCCCCTTTCCACCACCCGCAGTTCTACACGGGCGTGCTGTGCCCCATGCAGATCAAACCTCTCTTATACCAGGAGGTCGTGAACCTGTCTGGGGGGAAGCTGCAGCGTGTTGCCATCACTCTCTGCCTTGGGAAGGTATGTGGATGCAGACAGGTGTGTGTTGGATTGGTGGGTGGTGGTGGAAACCCCCCCTTTCCACCACCCGCAGTTCTACACGGGCGTGCTGCGCCCCATGCAGATCGAACCTCTCTTATACCAGGAGGTCGTGAACCTGTCTGGGGGGGAGCTGTAGCGTGTTGCCATCACTCTCTGCCTTGGGAAGGTAAGGAAGTGCAGGGCGGGGTGTGTTTTGAGACGTCTAAAAAGAATTCAAGACTTCGGAGGTTCAACACGTCTCAAAACTTGGCCCCGTGTAACTTGGCCTCTCTTGGGCCAGGAGGTGGCGGAAATCCCCCGCGTACTCCTCCCTCGCGTACTCCTCCCTCGCGTACTCCTCCCTCGCGTAATCCTCCCTCGCGTACTCCTCCCTCCCCTCTCACATTCTCGCGTTCTTGCTTGCACTGGTCTACACTCACCCCGTCCCCTCCCCCCCCCCCCCCCCCCCCCAACCCCCACCCCCCTCCTTTGATTTCTCCCTCTCTCTCCCGCTTTTTCCAACCCCCCCTTTCCTCATGCGGACATCTACCTCATTGACGAGCCATCGGCCTACCTGGACTCAGAGCACCGTATTGTGGCGGCCAAGGTCATCAAGCGAGTCATTCCTCCCCTCTGCTCCCCACACTCCCCTCCTTGCTCTCCCTCTTTCACTTTCCCCCCTATCACCAGCCTGCGGACATCTACCTGATCGATGAACCCTCGGCCTACCTGGACTCAGAGCAACGCATCGTGGCAGCCAAGGTGATCAAGCGGTTCATCCTGCACGCGAAGAAGACGGCGTTTGTGGTGGAGCACGATTTCATCATGGCCACGTACCTGGCGGACCGCGTCATCGTGTACGAGGGGCAGCCGTCTGTGGACTGCACTGCCCGCACTCCCCAGTCCCTCAACAGCGGCATGAACCTCTTTCTTTCGGTGAGACACTCTCTGCCCTTCTCTCTCTTGCTGTGTGAGTGAGGCCCCCTTACGGCACGATTTCATCATGGCCACGTACCTGGCGGACCGTGTCATCGTGTACGAGGGGCAGCCGTCTGTGGACTGCACTGCCCGCACTCCCCAGTCCCTCAACAGCGGCATGAACCTCTTCCTCTCGGTACGTCAGTCCCCCTATTCTGGAGATCACGTTCTTGCGCGAGTTCACCAACTTCCGGCCGCGAATCAACAAGATGGACTCTGTCAAGGACCGTGAGCACAAGGCACATCTCTCCTCTCCCCTCCCCCACCCTCCCCCCCACCATCACCCCCTTTCCCCTACCAGCAATCACGTTCACAAGTGACCTCACCAACTTCTATGTGTCTTCACCATTCTCGCCCCTATGTATCCCCACACTTTCCCTCCCCCTCCAACCAGCAGCTGGACATCACGATCAGGCGGGACCCCACCAACTTGTCCATTCTTTGTCTTTGCTCAATCCTACAAACCTCTCCACTCTACCCCACCCCCCTCTCTCGCACCATCCCACCACCAGCAACTGGACATCACGTTCAGGAGGGACCCCACCAACTTCCGGCCGCGAATCAACAAGATGGACTCCGTCAAGGACCGCGAGCAGAAGTCTGCTGGCACCTACTATTACCTCGACGAATGATTTCCACTGGCATCCATCCCTATGGGGGAGCTACTGCATGGCATCCCTATGAGATCGACACGTGTGGTGGAGGGTACGCTTCCGTGAATCACCCCCTTCTGAAAGCAACACACACATTATAGATGTATCTAGAGGGACAAATGCATTAGGTTTTGTGAATTGCCATTGCGTAGCAGGATTTGAGCGAATCCAAGTGTGTGAATGCATTAGGACAGGCAGTCCCAGCTAACTTTCGACCTAGCTTTTAGAGTTGCCTCGGCCAAATTATTGCTGCCATAGGATAAAAAGTCGAGCGGTAATTCAGGCTGAACCTGAAACTGTCAAAAACTGAATGATGGTTTGACAAGGGTTGGTTGGGGTACCTCTGAGGCACATTACTAAATTCTACAACATTTGACACACCCCCATAGCCTAAGTGAGGGGTGTCAAGCAAAACCAAAACCGTACGGTCACAAGACCAGTCACGAAACAACAAAGCTCATGGTGGATCACAACGTCACCACACAGTCTGAGCACTAGCAAAAGGGCCACAAGGCTAGTTCAAAAGTTCACTGAGGTATAAGCAAAATGCACAAACAAAGTAAGTAGAGAACCCAAGTCTATGCAAGACAAGATGTGTCAATAAGACCTAATTGCACACAACACCTGTAGTGGTCACAAGGCGGAAGAGCATTGGTGAACATGTCTGCAATGTTGGCCTTGGACTCCACAAAGTTGAAGCGAGCATGTCCACGCCTCTGCAACTCTCGCAGAAGAAAGCACCCGATGTTGATGTGCTTCACTCTGCTCTCCAGTCGCGGCTCTCGACAAAGGAGAATCGACGCCTTGTTGTTAGTGAACAAGGTCGGTGCAGAGCTCGGCCGCTCACCAAGGTCAGCGAGCAAGAAGGTCAACCAGCGCAACTTTGTGCAGCCATGGCTCCAGCGTAAATCTCAGCCTCAGCGGTAGAAGTCGAGACCGACGAGGAACGCGTACACCTCCACAAAACAGCTCCAGAGCCCAGGCTGAAGCAGTACCCCTGAGTAGACCTGTGAGTCTCGGCGTCGTCAGCGTAAGAAGAGTCACAGTGACCAATAAGCAGGCCCTACGATATCAGGAATTTTTCCCTGAAATTCCTGATTTACAGGGTTTTCTTTTAAGCTACCCTGATTTTCCAGTGTTCAGCTATTCTTGGGCCTGATTTTTCAGCCTTCACATGCCACATGACTCTGATATTTCAGCAATTTTTTCCTAGTGACACTGATGCCTTAACGTTGTAACGAGTTGGACCCTGAAAGCGAATCCTTCAAGGTGCGAGTGTACATGACGGGAAGTACAGGGAAAATCCGATTCCCTCGGTGTCAGCATGGCCTGTCGGTGACTACCGGACAATTTAGCCCACACTGATGGCCCCCTTAGTTGGCGCGCATGGTCCTATGATTGGCCACATTTACAACTTTTTGTAGGCGGGCAGCGATGCTGGCAGGCAGCGCTGCGATGCGAGGGATTGTGGCCCATGTGATGCACCTGTGGTCCAGTGGCCCGTTTTGTCCACGCCTCCCAGCCGTGCTACCTGCCATCCAGCCTCACATCCCGTTCTGCTCCATGCCTTCCTTCCAACTGCTTGGGGATTCATTCATCGTGTTGCTGCCTGGTGTACCAAGAGGCAGTCAGCCGTGTGTTCTCTCTGCCTGGCAGACCTCTCTCGTTCGTTAGGCTAGCTCGTAAGTTCCGTCCCGTTAGATGCTGCGTGGTCGTGCTGCAATCAATGGCGGACCAGCCGGACGCCATTGAACGAAATGGTGACCACAGCAACGAACCCGACCGTCGTTCCCCAGTTGATCTGTCCGCTGCTGTTACCGGACTGGATCTGCTGTTCTCTAACTTAGCGGCAGTGGATAACCATGGGAAGGCCCCTGCAGTTGCGCCTCCCGTAGATGTTCCTTTTGAACCCATCGACGAGCCGCTGTGTCCCTCTCCTACTGCGCCCGTGTTGGTGCAAGACAGCTCCAACCCTTCAGGTGATGAAACTGCGGCGGTACCAGTTGTAGCAAGGGAAAGGAGGCCCTAGGGGAGGAGGAGATGGAAGAACTACAAGGTCCAGTAAGAGATGATGAGGCTGACAAGCAAGCCTCATCTGATGATGACTTCTGAATACTCCCAGACTCCATGCATAGCTTGCTAGCAAGATAGGATATGGTTTGAAGGCTGTTTGCATGCTTCCTAGTGTTTTTAACTTAAAATAAAGACTATTACTACTGTCAGTCTTTTTCTGAAGGGGACACTGATGGATCAGACTTTTTTCAAAAGTAACACTGAACTTTCAGGCTTTTTTCCAAGGCGACCCTGACGATCAGGGTATAGGGGCCGAGGAACCCTGATACCCTTACGTGCCCCAAAGTGAATCTGAGGGCCTGCCAATAAGTACGACAGACTGTCTCCTTCCAAGAACCAGCCCCACGCGTGATGTTGACGCTAGGTACTTTGCCACCCTCATAGCTCCTGTCCAGTAAACAGGACGGTGTCTCCCTGGCGCAACAAAGCGAGCAAGGATGCTGAGAGGGAAGGCGAGGTCCGGACGAGTACAAGTCATCATGTACATGAGGCAGCCCACAAGCTCTGTGTAAGGACCACTAGGCTCAAACGACTCGTCAGGAAAGGATTCAGTGAGTCTGTGGTCAACAGCAAGAGGTGTGCGCTGTACTGTGGAGTGCTGAAGCTCGAACTGCTGAAGGACCTGTTGCACCATGTGTGACTGTGAGAGTGTAATGGTGCAAGCGACTATGTCCCTAGTGATTTGTGGGCCAAGGTAGTGGTTCAACTCACCAAGGTCAGGGCATGTATGTCTCTTCTGCAGTTCGGACTTCACGTCAGCCAAAGCAACTCTGTCGGCAGTATCGAAAACCAGGTCGTCGACGTAGACCAGTACAAAGAACGGTGTGGAGCCATGACGAATGAACAGCGACGGGTCGGCAGAAGACGGCTGGAAACCGAGGTCAGACAGGGTAGAGCGAAGGGTGTCGTGCCACTCACGAGGAGCCTGACGGAGACCGTAGACCAGTCGCCTCAGCCTCCACTGGGTCCCAGGAGGGAAAGTGCCAATGAAGGCAGAGGGACGACGCAACCAGACCTCCTCGTGTAGGCTACCCTGAAGGAAGGCAGTGGAGAAGTCGAGAGAGTGTAGCTCGTATTCTCTCTTTGCTGCTACGTTCAGTAACACCTGACAAGTGGTCATCTTTGGGGTAGGTGCGAAGGTATGAAAGAAGTCAACTCCCTCGCGCTGACTGAAACCTCTAGCCATATAGCCGCTTCACCATGAAGATCAACATGCCATCGACTACGTTCAGGGTTTAGGGTTGGGGGACCTTGTCGACGTATGTGCATGTGGATTTGTAGGAGGCCATCTCTGCGTCCATGGCAGCTCTCTACTGAGAGGCCCAAGGCCCTGGCACTGCCTCAGCGTAACTGCGAGCAGTCGATATGTTAAGGGAGTCGGGGTCTCCCTCAGGGGCGAGCAGCATGGCACAGAGATGAGGGGAAGCGGCTGCCAGGAACTCTAGCTCAAACTGCCTGTCCTCTAGGGCGTCACAGCCAAGGGCAGACTCACCCCCGACGGCCAGAGGACTGGTAGGAGGAGCAGCCACAAGACTAGTGGCGTAGTCAAGGCGGCGAGTAGAGGCAAGCTAAGTGACTGCAGTAGTAAGAGTAGAGACAGAGGACAGAGAAGCACGGGGGTCGGTAACAAGAGAGGCGGGAGTACGAGAGAGAACAGGACGGTACGTGCAGTAGTAGTCAGTGACAGGAGTAGAGAGGGAAGCAGTGAGGGCCGACTCAGGAGGAGAAGGAAGCACAGACGGAGACGGACGAGGGGACCTAGGACGAAACACGGCAGTACGAAGGTCAGTGACGGGAATAGGGGACCAGGGACAGGCACAAGGAAAGCGACGAGAGGCCCAAGTGTGAGAAAGAGGAGGGGACAACGGAGGCTGAGAACGAGGGAAAACAGCTGGGGAGGGGTCAAGAGGAGGAAGCGGGGGACCGGAGAAGGGAGGCAAAGGGGAGGAGGGAGGAGAGGGAGAGGGGAGACCGAGGGTCCAAAGACCAAAGACAGGAGGAGGTGGCGGCTGCTGCTGCTCCTGCTGTTGCTGCTGCTCCTCCAGCTGCGACTGCTGCTGTTGCTGCTGCGGGTGCTCCTCCAGCTACGGCTGCTGCTGCTGCAACTACTCCTCCGGGTGCTGCTACTGCTGCTGTTGCTCCAGCTGCTGTAGCTCCTCCTACTGTTGCTCTAGCTGCCGTAGCTCCAGCTGCTGCCGCTCCAACTCTAGGCCCTCTCTCCCCAACTCTAGCTGCTCCTCACAGGCACGGCAAAGACTGTCCCGGTGTCGGTTCAGGTAGGGGTGCGGGCGCGGAGTAGTGTCCGGGGCAGGGGCAGCCCCAGGACTACCCTCCAAGGCACCAGCCGCACCACGCCCAGAGCTAGCACCACCAGAAGTAACAGGGTGAGTCCCAGGCTCTCCAGGTTCAGCAGAGGGCGTACCCCAAGCGTAGCACCCCCAGGGACAGCTTGACTAACACCAGCGCCCCGAAGACTAGAGGCTCCTGCAGGCACAGGCTCAGCCTCAACAAGAAGAGAGGGGGAGGAGGAACCGGGAGACCTCGACAAGGGTACCAAACGTAGTAGGTGACAGACTCGTCTGAACAGACGTCACGGGAGTCAAAGAACCGGTGAAGGGGAGGGTGGTAAAAGGTGAAGTCAGAGGAGTCCTCTGGGAAACCAAGGAAGACACAGGGAATGGCGCGAGGCGAGATCTTGTCCGCAGAGGTGTCGCAAATAAGTGCCAAGCAACCCCAGACACAAAAACGCGACGCAGCACGAGGGGACCTGGTCCACAGACTAGTCGGTGAAACCTCTGGCCGAGAGACACGTGGCCAGAGGTTCAGCTGGTGAGCGGCGTACCGAACTGCGTAGGGCCACTAAAAATGGGGGGCACGGGCGTAAATTAAGGAGGTGCGGGCGATCT